CAGCGACGCACGATCATCGCCCCCCTACTTGATACTTCCCCCCCCAGTATCCATGTGCATGGTCTTTCGACCGTGGCTCTTACTGCATCTCCTCCTGCATGTTGGTTTCTCGGTCTGTCTATGCTCTGAGGCTCCTGGGGGCGGGCTAATATTTGGAAATGGATATCTACGTAAGGACAATGTCGTCTGCTTCACGACATTGCCCACAATGTGCTACAAAGCATTTGCATCTTACGCCCATATATATTCCGTGACGTGCCGTTTGGCCTACGTAAATATCTCCCGCTTGCACAGCTCTTTGTGATGATGCCAGGGGCCGGATGGCGGAATACGGAGATCAACAGGGGGACTTCCCTCTCTACTTTGGGGCGAACACCCTAGCCAAATGCATGTTTGCTAGTTAGAAGAGCGTGCACATAAGTATCGTCGTGGTTTCTGGCACTGTGGGGCAGAATAAATGGTTATGAAGCAGAGCAATGGCACACCGAGGTGCGATGTGAAGTTTTCGAAGTCGATGTGAATGCAAAGAACGCTAATATATATTGAGATGGAGAATGAGAGAGGGACGCAAAACCTAGCAGAGCGAGATGAACCGGATGAAAGGGTAGGCACAATTCGAAGAACCGGGCCTCCACTCAAAATCCGAACAATTCCTTGCCAAATTTTGCGATGTCCCTCCCTCTCGTTACAATATGCGGTCGACGTTATGATACGAATAGCGTTGGCGCAGAGATGGAGGAAATATATGAAGTTTGGAAGAGGGAAGATATGATGCAGAGGGCCTGTGGAGCATGTACGTCTCCCAGTGGACAACCAAGATGAGTTGAAGCTGTGAAGGGGACAGAGAGCAAGGGAGACAGGGAGACAGTACACCTCGCGGTCAGAATGGTGGTTCCCTCCATTATTCATTGCCTCACATATCCTGCTATGAAGTATCCAACGCGAAAGGCACGCCTGTGGTCCAGCTACGACAGGAAACTGAAGTTCGATGAAGTGTGGAGGGGTTCCAGCGCTTGTGAGGGCTACGTGATGAGGGAGCGTCAAGGAGGATGCAGACGACGAAGGGCAGTTATATACGAATTGCGAGCCAACGCGTGAAAGCATGCAGAGTGCAGCCAAGCCGTTTGAAGCATGCGTTTCTCTGCTGCTGCCGCCGCTCGTACTGTGGCCGAACAGATTGCCGAGTCACTGGCTCTGGGAGTAATAAAGAGGCCGGAGAGAGAACGTAAACGATAGCCGTATTTGTGGGCACACAATGCCTGTACAGAAACATCCTCCAAGGCTGCCTTATCTGGGAATGTGCTGACCATTCGTACACCGCCGAGACGAATTGGTTCTATTCATCTCTAGCAGGATGTCCGCGGAATCAAGTGCGAGGACAACGCACGAAATTGAGCAAAAGGGAAAGTCCTAGATAGCGGCGTGGAGGAGTGTTCTACAGCGCGAGTCGTGCGACAGACGTCTGATAGCCAAATCAAGAGGAAGGGTGCTGCCCTGAAAGCAGAATAAGTACCGCCCTGCCTCGATCCACGCGGCCTCCATCGATCCAAGCGAGAGATGAAGGAGATAGCGTGCACATTTTGCCGATCGAGAGAAAGAGGAAAGGAGGAAGGAGAGCCGGTGGAGGAAGGGACACCCGGCTGCCTATAGACAAAGAGTCTGATCGCACTCACCGAGGAACACACGAAAGGTTCGTCTGCAGGCCTTTTCACGTTGAGTCCAAATAGACGAATGGGCAGGTAGAATCGCGTGCGAGGAACATCCTGAGAGCGTAGGGGAAGTACGCGATGCGTTTTTGACGGCGTAGGGCAAATGATTGTGGCAAAGGGACGCTTGATTAGGTGGGATCGATGTTGCCAGTTGCGTGGGAAGGGAGAAGAAGAAGAGTCTGGTTGATATTTGAGTCTCTCGCCTTTTCCTTCGAAGTCCCTCGAAGTAGAAGCACTCACAGATCAGCCTGAGATATGCCGCTCAGTTCACTGCGCATCAAACGAGAACATGATGGGAGCTGCGTCCGGAAGTCGGGCTTTGTTCCACACACATGTTCATGAGCGGCGTGAATGTGAGCGGGACAAAGGGAGAGAAGGTATGAGATTATCGCGTTGTGCGTGCAGAGGACCAGTGAGAATATAGTCGGGGATGTTTCGGAGGATCTGACGGTGCAGATGAAAGGCAGTCAATGATGGCAATGAGGATAATTATTTGGCACAATCCCGAGAACCAAGCATCGGTTACTTAATCTACGCTCCGGTCCGAGGACGATGGCCCGTGCGCTCATCCCTTCCTTCCTCAATGCCCCAATGCTGGCACCCACAGGACATGGACCACCAATGCTTGTCATCCGAATGTATCTCTGTGTATCATTTGATGAGAGCTGTGAATGGTAGTCCGTTCGCTTCCCCCACCTCCATGTCCATCCTCACTTAACCTCTGCGTCCTGCTGTACCATTATCAACGGTACCCACATCCTGCTGCCATCGCGTGCGAGCCTCCTCATGGAAAGTGTCTACCCGCTCGCGACATCATGCATCTTCCGCTTCAGCTGCACGTGGACGCTTAGTTCGAGACTTTTCTCCTGTCTTCGGCTTGCTCGTGTGGGTTAATTTTTCCTTTCCACTCGAAAGCTCGTTCATTGGACGCAGGGTGTAATTTTTAGCACTCCATGAATGCCCTCTCTCCTTTCTTTCTAAGCTGTTTCTCGTGTTATTTTTTGTGACCTCCCCCGTCCATCATCCCGTCCGGGCCTCGCTCAAAGTCTTCTCTACACCTCACGTATCACAACGGTCTCATCTCGAGACTGAAGAGTTAGCACTGGAAGTTTTGGAAGGGATCGGGTCTATGAGCGAGGCTCGGTCAACGACGATGAGACGGACCAACAGGTTTCGTTCCTATCTGGGAGGTATTGCCGAGAGCCACAATCCCACCCACACTCGCGTTCTCGTCACAATCTCTACTTGGGATCGTATGAAAGCGATATGCATGTGGTAACAAGTATTCCTCACATCTATCCTTGCACCCTTTGGCTCTGGTAAACGTGATCGATTCCCTATCGACCTGCTTGTGCTCAGAGATGTTTCGAGATCTTGGGTTTTGGGGGTATTGTGTATACTCCCATACTGCACGCCTCCTCATCAAATCAGCGCTCGGCTCCTCGTGGCTCGTGCTGGTACCCCGAGAGGCTCTTATCCTACTTCAGATGGCGGGATTCCCTTCTTGAGCGTTTCGTCGTGCATTCACGCAAATTTTGAGCGATCCTCATACGTCTTCCTCCTCCTCGGCCATCGATCAACCCTGTCCGTCTCTTTCTCTCTCTACGAACCAATTCTTTCCTCGACGACCGCACCAAACTCCCCACGCCCACCGCTCCACTAACCGATTGTCGTATCTTATGATGGGATATACATCCTGTCTCCCGATCGACGAATGGTGACGAGAAGGTGTTAACATGGAGGACGAATGCGTACGAATCGAGAGTCATATCGCCGAACATGCGGTGTCTTCCTCCTCCTCAGCCCACGATCTGTCTTGCTTTCGAGAAAAGCGATGTCCATTGCCGGATCGAGGAATGTCAAGATGGTCGCAGATGCCAGGTGACGGAGTACCCGGACGGCTAGTTGAGGCTTATTGATTTACATAATTTCCGTTGCATCCTCCCCCAATTATTTGAGGTTCGCTTGATCAGGGCCATTCCATGATTTTGGGAGGAAGCAGATGATCTCTTTCTGGGACATTCTAACCGCCCTCCCCCGAACACTCTCATGCAGAATCGAGGACTCTTCCGTGGAGTTATCGTCCACATTCTGCAATCTAGTCAATTCACCCAAATAAATATATAGAACAGAACAGAACACATTGGTCAAGTAGTAGTAAGGTCCGTTACTTATGCACGGCTGTTTGTACTGGCATGAAACACTTCACGATGTCAGTGTCAGCGTTCTGGCTACAGTCAAAAAAACCGACGTATTGGCAGCCGTTGAGTCAACGGAAGGCGCAGCGAAGATTTGGACGCGAAGGACCCCAATCTTACGCCTTAGGCTCTGTTCGCCGTTCATCTTTGAAATTTATTTCCTCAAAGCGAGTGAAACGTCGACACACAGAGAAAAGAACAGCAAAGGACGTCCAAGCAGGAGAAGGCTTACACGGGATACTACGTTGGCCTGGGAAAGCCGCCGCTGTGGGCGGCCCACCCAGGCCAACGAAAGACCACCCTGAGCACCCTCCTCGCTGCGAGCGCGTGCTTCGTTGCGGTAGGTGTGGGAGGGCACATGATGGGGAGGAGAAATGGGGACCGGGCGACCACCAACTCATCGATTGGGATGGGCGAGAGCGGAAGGGCACTCACTAGTGTCTGACCCGGGAGGAGCCTAACGAGAGGTACGTTAGGAAGCGCGACGATGTGAGAAGTAAAGGCGACGTACTAGATGTCCTGGAGTTGTGAGGGGATGGGGAGGGGGGAATGGCGAGATGTAAGTAAGAGATCAAGCTCAAGATGCATAAGCGCCGAAGAAGCACTGTGGCTCCTTATATCCTCCATCCTTATCGCGCCGCCATCTTGTCCCCGGCACCGGCGATATCCGCAGAGATACGAATAAGACTCGAGAGGACCTGTGAAACACGGAAAAGGGATGATTCAAGTCCGAGCGATCAGAAAGCCGATATGTCCCTCCCGCTGGGCGAAGCGTCCAAGAAGTGAAATGATATGCACTGAACATCTGATGACGCACTTCGATGTTGAACGATGGCTTCTGACATTAGGGTGTAGCCGTCGGAAGTGACCGTCTGCTAGCATGAGGATAATCAATACTCTTTGCAAACTCGAAAGAACAAGTCGTAAAACCTGTATACACTGCAATATATCTCGGAGATTGTGAACGAGCAAAATTGCCTGCACACACTCAGAGAAAGCTCCCCTAGGTCTTGATCCACGTAAGTCCCAAAGTTCACACAAACTGCCATAATCAGGCAGACGTGAAGACACCCATGCGACTTGCGACGAATAAGATGAAATGGGAATTAGGTTTCAGGGCTTTGGGGAGCCTACCACGGAGGTGAGGATGGAATGCGTTCCTCAGGAGATGGAGACAAGAAAGGCATGCAAAAGAGATGAGGGGAAGAATTACCCAATAAACCGAAAAACGGGCCACGAACGAATGTCACAAACCCGAACCGCACATGCTGCACGAGAATGCCCCTCCATCATAGCCAGACACCAACGTGCACCCATCCGTTTCCGGACAAGGTAGGACACTCCTAGAGGCAAACGGCACAATCAAAGAAGATCGGGCAAACTATGGGACGGACGTAAGGCAGAGGACGGGGGTGGAGGGGCCCGAGTGTGATTGTGTGGATGTTGAGCACAACGAATGAATCCATAACGAAATAAAGAACATGGAGGAACAGACACGGCGGGAGTATCATTGTGCCTCGCGAGTCGCCATTCACTGTCAACACCCACTCTCCTCCTTTGACGAAGTGTCAGCATGGGCTATGATGGGGAAAGATCCGTTCGCTGCATCCTTCGAGATGCGCGATCTCTCGACTTGCATGATTGTCATCGTGCGAGAGCAAATGTGAGCAGAAGCCAGCGCTAGGTACAGAGGAATCTCGTGGTGCAGCACAAGCGGCAGTGCAAGGAGGGAAGTTGGACGATTGAGGTGGATCAGAGTGCAGGGCAGTGAATGGGAGAAGGAGAGATGAATCAACGATGGGCCAGTGGAAGGCTTTGGGGAGGGATAACAAAGCAAATATACGTGATGGCGCACCTCGAGTATCAACGCGATCCTCCCTGGCTCCATACATCCCGGTCCTCTCTTCAATTCCATCGCTACTCCAATCGCTCGATATACAACCGGTCGGTTTGCCATGACGCCCCCGTTGCAGGTGTAACAGAAGTAGAAAAATGGCAGAGCTCCCGTCAGTTGGCAATTTTAGTGGACATGAAAGCCCGTTCCGTATCCCGCGAACCTACGTCACGAACCAAGGCAGACCAAGGCAAGACCTCTGTGAGTCCATATATTATGAGAGGTACCATACAGTATTTAGAAGGCAGAGAAAGGTCGAAGATGAGTCTAACAGAACGGTGTCGAGGGGCAAACAAGACTCACCTGACAATAAAAGAATAGTTCCAATAACACTCGCCCCTTTAGCCGTATTCGATTCTGCGTGGCTAGATGGTGGGTGGTTAGAGAGACGAAAGAGATTCCTATGTGGGAATGTCTTCTTCTGTTTGTCATGCCGACCAGACCGATGTTGACGGAGACGAATGAGGCTGTTGCCAAACAGTTCTATCGTCAACTCTCCCTTAACCCTGCCTTAACCCCCTTGTCGATTCTATCCACCAAGCTTCAGTCTGGGGCCCCCAATACGAATGAATCACGCAATTTGAAGCCCTCATTTCCTTCTCTCTTGAGAAAGAGCTATTTACTGATCTGCCCCCAGAACCTGCTATCCTCCGTCACTCTGCGTTCTGTTTCCTGTCAAAACCCCAGACTTGCTCGCTGGATTCTCACGTCTTCGCTGCCTTTATGTCATGTCCACACGTATCCGCTTTTCAGGGGGCTGTTGGGACCAGTATAGCAGGTAGCAGCATCGTCATAAACAACAGTGTCGAACAGAATGATACCGGTCGTGGTGAGCTCTTTGCTTCTCCGATTTGTCAACTTTTCGTTCAACTTACCATACTAGCAATGGATATCTGGTTGAATCACTGCTGCCTCGAAGCGCAGCTCGACTCCGACGAGCGTTTCAACCCGCCTCGTTGTGACGAAGGCACACGTGTTTCGACAATCAACTCTATCACGCAATGGATCAGCGTCGAAAGTGTGGCGGCGAGTGTCTTGGTCTACCATGGCCCTGCTGGGTGCGGGAAGTCCGCTTTGGAGCAATCGATTGCGGAGCAGTGCCAGCGTGAGGGCAGGCTGGGTGGTGCGTTCTTTTTCTCGCGTACATCACCCAACGCTCGCCGTGCCGATGGGAACATGGTGATACCAACGTTGGTGTACCAGCTCGCGCAGATCTTTCCGTGGCTCAAGGAGAAGGTGTTGAAGGAGATTAAGAAGGATCCCGGGGTATTTATGCTCTCTCGAACAAGCCTTGCGGATCGTCTGCTCGCAAAACCCTTCACAGATGCCACCCTTCTCTCCCAACAGGCTGTCAAGCGCACGCCCCTGCTGATCGCTCTCGATGGCCTTGACGAATGTAATAACACAGATGTGCAATGTGATTTACTCCGCATCATTGCACAGCTCGTTGCACGCCTTCGCTACCCATTCCGATTTCTCGTCGCGACGCGGCCCGAGTCCCATATTATGTCCATCCTGAAGCACGAGGCATTCTCGGGGACACCTAACGCTCATATCCGGGACATCACACACACCTTCGAGATTCACGATGACATAGGCACATTCCTCGATAACGGCTTCCGACGCATCCGAACCACTCACCCCCTGCACCAGTTACTCCCTGCGGCGTGGCCATCAAAGACGATCATTTGGACGCTCGTCGAGAAGGCGTCAGGGCAATTTATCTACGCTGACACTGTCCTCAAATTCGTCGAGTCCCCAAAGCATCAGCCAGAGGACCGCCTGAAAGTCGTCCTTGGTCTATCCATACCAAACGTGAATGAACAACCATTTTCCCAGCTCGATGCCCTATACACCCACCTGTTCTCCGCTGTGGCACATATAGAAATTGTCTGGCATGTTCTAGGTGTTATTCACCTCGAACAGGAGGAAATCAGTATCGGAAAGTCGAGTCGGTTTAATCAATACCACGGTGACGCCTCGAACAAGTGGAGAACACTGGCAAGTCTTCAGCAAATCCTGCCTGGCACCATCCGCCCGGGTGATATACTATTAGCTTTTGATCCTCTCGCATCCATCGTGACATTCTCTCCAGACGAGGAATGTCGAATAAGGGTTCAGCATGCTTCGCTTTTCGATTTCCTCTTGGATGTCTCACGGTCTGGTCCTTATTGTCTCGATTTATCTCTCGCGCACGGGTCGCTTACCGAATGGTATTGGAAGCAAATTAGCCGATCCTCAACAGGTATTTGTATTATACTACACCTTGCACAGTACTTACGCTCGGGCCTTCTATTTAGCTGTCAACGGACTTATGAATGGCACTGGAACAGCCATCTTCCGATTTATCCATCATTGCCATTTCTCCGTACTTTCAGAGATAATCTTAGAGCTTATTCAAAAGGTCTCGCTCTTCCTTTTGGGTTTCCTCGATTGCTCAAATGAGGAATGGGAAGCGAATCGCTGGATAGGATTGAGATACAATGAAATTCTCTGTAATTTGTCCCAGTTGCTTCGGAGAGAAGTAAGTATTGTTTTATGCCTTAAAGAAAGAGCTCATGACGCAAATATTTGGTAGGGATTGTCATTGGAATCTGTCTCCACTGATGTGGTCGAGGCGGTCGCCACCCGATGGCGAGCATTAGCCGTAGCAAACCCGAAAGACCCGATTGCACAGGTATTAAGCCAAAGGATAATGACGCCAAACAAGAGTGTTGTTATTGTCAGTTTTCAGCTTACGATTTGTCTGCGGTAATTAATCAGCTTTACGTGCAGGCTGGCGAAACCCTTTCGCGCAATGTAACGAATGGACCGCAAAACTACGTGGATGTTTTCAAAGAATGGGCGACCTCTTTGATCAGCCCTCTCAGCCCGTCATTTGGTCGAAGTAGGAAGGCTACCCCAGACGTGGCCTCGCTGGGAGAGCTTGCAGACGAGGTGGGCTGTTCAATTTCGCTTCCCTTCCCCCTTCAATCCTTGATTCTATCCTTAAATACGGAAATTTCCTATACAGCTCGCGGGCAGTCATGATGGGAGTGTCGATGTGCAATTCGCACTTGCCGCCGCACGCCTTTTTTTCTGGAGGGAGTGCATGTCAACCGCGGGCGTACATTGTACGTTACCCTCTAGTCCGACATCCCCGAGCTCTGCCTACTTTTCGACTCGGGAAACCGTTAAGACCTGGGTCCTGCACGCCCTTACCGCACTCAGTATCGACGATGGCAGCGGAGACCTTTCAGCCTTCGACGCTGCTATCCTTCTCTTCATAACTTCCCTTCTCCCATTCTGCATTGTCCAACGTCAGCGTCCCGACGACCCGAACCTCGACGCCATGATCCTCGCGAAGATATGCAAGAAATCGTACGGCAATAACTCCGATGTTCCAGAGGCAGTCATCGCTGTAAAATTTGCCAATGCGCTCGGCTTCCCGAGGCTCTGCGAGCACTATCATGAAGAGGCGCTTGCGTATATTGAGGTGTCTTCAAATTCCCGTGCTCAAGTATCTCTAATTTCAACTTTGATGATGTTCGTAGCGTGTCAGGGCAGTCAACCCAAAGGTCCTTGTGCGGGATTGTTGGCGATATTAGAACGAAAAGACGTTGGAGGAGGGGTTGGGCCGTGTCGAAGGCGAGAGTGCATTAGCGCCCAAAACTCAGCAAACCCACCGCACGAGATTTTTTCTAGAATGAGGAGCCTCATTTTCGTTGGCTCACTTTGGACGTAGCCTTCGTGTTATACCCAGTCCATGTCAAATCTACATCAGACGAAGATACAGACAGGAGCATACTTACCTCGAGCTAACATTGTGAATGGTTGCCTTTGTTGGGTGTGCCACCGTCCTCCTGCACGAGCTGGAAAGCGAGGGCATAGAAAGAAATGCCGCGTGGCCGCGTGCTCAATAAAGACATATCTAGGATCAAATCAGCACACTGAAAGAAGGCTCTCTACGGTCATTTCCATACTTGCTTCAAACCACAGCTCGACGTGAGCTACCTGTATCAGGTGGACACGAAAAACCTGCACGCCTCGCGGCATACAGAAAGAAGTGGGAGATGGAGCGCAAATGACCGCAAAGGAGCCTAATCTCGTGGAGCCAGTGAAGGATGACGCCCTCTAAAACCGAAGTGGGGGTGGCATGAAGGTTGCTAAATGAAGGAAACGAAGGGGAAAGAATCTCGAATTGAAATAGAGGGAATGATTCGTTCGCGAAACGCTTCAACTTGTAAGAAGTGCCTCGACCCTCTTCCACCACCAGGACCTCACGGTTACAGAGTGTGCAACGTTCGTCTGTCACTGAAAGAGACATAACACTCCTAGTGACAGGTTGCACGACCCACGGAGATCACGCAGCTTATGAGACGAGCGTAAGGGAGGTCTGGTGGTGGAGGAGTGTGCTCGGGACGAGGAACGAGTCTGTGGGGATCAAGAACCGCATGCAGCGATGACGCGATGAAGAAGAATCGAAGATGCAAATGCCAGGCAGGAACGACGAGTAGGACGCATGGACGCACCTCGCCATACCGACTTCCACCAGTATGCTTTCCTTAGAACTCCTCCACCATCCAACATAAAGTGTCCAATCACCTCGTCGCAAGGATTCGCGATGTATCCACTGAAGACTATCCACCACAGCCGGCTGGCGAAAGGGAGTGGACTCCAAGGCTGGAAGTGGAAGGGATTCTCTGGACAGGGTGCATGGAGCAAGGCGAGGCGGGAATAAACAAAGTAAAGCGGATGATCCAGACTGATGAGAGGGGCGAGACAGAAAGGCAGGGGGATCTATCAGATCTGTAACTACCTGAGCCGGCCAAAGGTTGTAAGCGCGCGAAATGTGAGGAAGGGAGTGTATACCGATGGACCTCAATTATCGACACCATCATGTCCTCTCGGGCCTCTCCTTCCCGTCTAGTCCATCTCTTGAATTTGTCAAATGGGCTGCTTGTAGCGACATCGCTTGCGATCCCGAGAATCGATGAGCAGTCTAAGACTCAACCACTGAACCTCAGGTACTCCGCGATCAGTGGACACGAGAAGGGAGGCGGAATCGATTCCAGCAAGCCTTCGAACACGGGTCCACAAGGAGCAAACCATGGGCTCAGTGGTGGGAACATTCCGCGATTGGAATCCTTTATCATTGATTGAAGAGATTTGGGCAAATTGAAGGAGGTGTTGCGAGCTGAGTCTGGGTTGGATGACGTTAATGTTTGGCTACGGACACTCAAGTCAACATCCGTCCGATCGGCACGACTCGACCCTACTGCCCACGTCCTCTCCTTGCTCTTCTCGTTGGATTGAAGGGGATTCCATATTCAATAGATCGTGGTGTGTAAGTTGTCCCAAGCTGTCTGATACCTGTGCCCAAATTTTCTCCACCGCAAGGACGTGTGCAATTTCGCTCGTACCATTCAGAACCGTACCGAGCACGGTCTCCCCACTATCCTGATCTATTCTTGGGCGTTCCAGTAAAGAGAAAACATCTCGAAGGCTATATTCAACGAAGTAGTGATTACAGTCGATTTCGAAAGAGAAAACTGCAGAGAGCACGTAGGGCAGTGTCAGATTATGGGTATATGCCCAACGACAAGATTTGATATCCGAGGAGAGGAGAGCCGCTGGTTATCTCCTCATTCACACCCAATGGTTTCGTTCAAATCTCATCGCACTCCAAGGGGGATTGACGCCACAGCGAGCCTGATAGAAGGCTCTCGTAGGATATGACCCATCACCTATACACCCACGAGCACCAAATTTCCACGTAAGCTGCGAGTATGGAGCTGCGGTGGACATAACCTTAAGCTTCGTAGCGGAAAGGATGGAACCGGGGGTGTAATAGGCAGAGTCATCCTACAAGAGCCTTGCCGAGATATCGGTGTCATGAATCTCGAGGCGAAATAGGAGGGTGATAGGGAAGTTAAAGGGTGAACGAGGGAGAAATGGAACGAGACATCCACACAGATATCTATAGCGGCGGGACGCCCATCGAAGCCCCTAACCTCAGTTGGCGGAGAGACCCACACCTGTCCCTAATTGAAAGTACCCTCCTCCATCATCTGCAAGGAATATCCACCGTACGTTTTGCCTCTGGGTGACGTAAGACACCGGGAGGCGAACTGCACTTTCTATGACGATTGTGCAGCCCATGAGAGGCGCGGAAACCCGAGGATGAGTATGGAGGAGGGTTCTCGAGACCAACGGTGGAGGTAGGGCGATGGAGATGGAAGTGGAGTAGAGAACAAGGAGGAAAGAGGGGGCAACGTGTCTGATAACGAGAAATGGAAAAGTAGCCTCGCCAATTCTTTGTCACGAAAGAAAAATTTCTCCGCTGTCCAAGTTTGAAACTATGTTCCGTAACGCTCGCCGACTCCCTGAGATCGAAGACGATCCATCTAGAGACACCCTTACACGGTTCCCAACCGTGTAAGAGAAGATGCGAGCGCAAACATAACCTGGGCGCGGAGGAGATTCTCGCAGTGGGATGAATGGTACGACGGTCGAAGGCCCAGCAAGATGGCGATCAGATGGGATTGAGCAAAGGATCAAGAGGATATTTGAACTAGTAGGCATGTGGTTATGACGTTGATGTAAGAGAGGAACGGGACGCGCACCTGGGTTGTCGACGCGACATCCCTACAGGTCCCTCTTCTTCGAGTATCCCACATCGAACGAACCAGGCAAGCGAGCCGCGGAAAGCCTTCAAGAACCTCCCAGGCGAGAGATAAACCCAAATAGCGGAGCGTTGGCTCAGCCAGAAGGACAGGGATGGGGCACAAATACAACCGCCAGCCAGTGACCATCCCGATAAATTTCACTCCACAATCCAGGCTTTGTAACTGGCTCTATTGCCGTTCGCCTCGTCCAAGAGAACTCGAATCGATTCCTCTGGGAGCGATCCTGCATGGTTGTGAGTTGTGCAGGAGGGAGCATGAGCGGGAGCCGAGACCGGATGTGGAGGAGTTCTTCGGAGGGCCGTGGTAGGAGGTGGGCCCACAGACATGACACTGAAAGGAAGGGTGCCGAAGATCGAGGGAGTAGGGAGGATGACCGGCAAGATAGAAGGTACCAGTGGCAATCTGAGCTGGCGGAATTCAGATTTATGAGCGGAGAAAGGTATAAGGAATGTTCAATGACGCACCTCGATTATCGACATAATCGTCTCCTCACAAATCTCTTCTCCCCGTCGTTCCTGCGGCGATTGAGCCAAGCCATGCAGTGTACGGGTACTCTGGATGTCAGTGAAAAGTATAAAAAGGCTAGAAAGGGTGTCTAGCTCACATTCAAGTTTCAACAGACGAGAGAGGTGGATTGGCGTTCGACGAGGAGATGGATCAGTTGATGTCGGGGCGAAGCTCGAGTTGTTTGGCGCAGCCCCCAGATCCAAGCAGGGCTTCATCGGCCCGAGAACACTGACTTCCTTGGCCCATGCGCTCACTTCTCACTCGTTCCCTCCCACCACATCCTTCTTCAACGCCCTGCCTCCCCCAGAGTCACCATTTCGCCTAGTATCGTCGTCTCTCCCACCCCTTGGGCCCCGTACACAATCCTCCATGACGTGCCACAACTACACCCTTTCCACGCGAGCGGGTCCCCGGCAAAGTGTCTACCCATCGATCGCGTCTTCAGTGGTGCCTGCGAGTTCCACGGTGGCGTACATATCGACAATAGTGTGTATTATCGGACTGTAAAACATGGGTTTGCATCTATTTGCTCGGGCGTACGCTTGCCGGACACAGGTCAAGTTATATCCTACTCTGTCCGACTCAGGCTAGTCAATATTCCCCTGTCTGGGCTTCCCAAACTCGATGACGGACTCGCGTTCTACTCAGCGCCGTGTACTATTTGTCGATTCTCGCTCGCAATACCTACCTAACAGGATCGAAGGGCATCGGTCGTTGTCAGGACTAGAAAGAGCACCCGGAGGACAATTGGGGATTCATCAGCGCTATAACGAAGCTCGACGCCGAAGCCTGTCTTACAGCCTGTGAAACCCCTCCTTGCAATTATTGCAGCTCCTTCTGTCCTTTCCTCTACCCTCAACAAGGAGATCCTGCCCTTCGCGGTCCCCCTCCGCCGCTGATCATACTCCGTCTCGCCTTATATTCTTTACCTTTCCACTTCCTCCAGGTTCAATCCGCTGCTATCCACTCGTTATGACATGTGGAGATCCATGTTCTCTCTTTGGATTAACAACTGGTTTTGGAGCGTTAGCTGATTCCTGGAGGACAAAAGTGGTCGGATAGACACGGGTGAGGTCTTTGAAATATGTTAGCGTTGCACGCAGCGCCAAAGACCTTACTCCGAGCTTAACGTCCATTGTTCTAAATATCTCGCACCTTTAATGGTTCCTTACGGTTTCTGGTATGCTGTCATCTCTGGTGGTTTATCTGCGCGATTTACGAATGACAGCGAGTCTAGCGCCCCACAACGTCCTCTCAGGGTCCATTCTTTCTGGTTACTGTTTCCTCTTAACTCCCGTCTCGTCCCTAAATATCCGCCCGAACATATCTTCGTCTCAAGTCTTTTCGTTACGACGTGACATCGAAGTTGTACTTCCAAGGTCCATGCACCGTATCATCCCGTCCGAGCATCACCCAAGGTGATTCTAGTGGTTTGGGGCAAATCACTGCCACTAATGGCGACGCTCGCTCGATGACGATGGATGTTCAAAGTTAATACTTGCTACTATCAGGGACGTATCGTCCGTACGGCGAAGCCTTCGGCGGGTAGTCCGTGTTTGGCTCAGGTTGTCGGAAGAACGACAATTTCTCTGTGTATAACTTATGTAGTAGATAACAATTCCAAAAGATGGAGGCACGAGACGACCGTGCGCAGTTTTGGCACTCCAGTCCAGGAAAGGCGCTTATCGAGACCGAAGGACGACGCAAGAATGACACTCTCGCCCTCCTAAAACAAGATATCGACTCGAAACCAAATTACCCGTGCTCGTAGGATGCTAAGCCACTGTATGAGGCTACTTGTGATATGATCCATGCCCCGAGACACTTTTGGGGGTTCAAGTTCTGTGTAATAAGCCCGAGCCGCATATAATTCAGATAGACGAAAAGGTGGATGCAAGCGCCGTCAGGCCCTCAAGTCACAGAGAACGTTCTCAAGCTATGTGGGTTCATTCCTTCGAGAAACCAGAAACGCCGCTCAATCCATTTCACAGCTCACGAGAGCATGACGGAAGATGAGTCCCGAAGTCGGGCCTGGTTCTCTGCCCACGGTCATGGCCGTAGGGGATGTGAGCGGCGAAAGGGGTTTGCCTGAGAGGAAGTAAGAAATTTCCAGGCGAAGGGAAATGCATGTCTGGCTTGAACCCCAGAAAATCGGCGCGAGCGAAACTGCCGTTGCACGCACGGACTTAGAGAAAGCTCCCCACCAAAAATAGTCAGCTACGCCCCACTTCCCCCACGTGCCACCAGAACTGGGCGTACGGGAGGAAGTGGGAAGTGGAGACCAGGCGTAGAGGAGCCTACTCGAGAGGCGTTCGTGGCAGATACTCCTCTGGGAATGGGCAACGGGAAGGAAATGAAGAAACAGGAAAAGAACGGGTTCGACACGAAGAAAAAAGGGAACAAGAGACGACGGAGCGAAAACGTCCGTGATAGGTCACGACTTGAACATCCCGCGAGGATGAATCCTCCAGCATCCGATCTATCATGGCGTTCACACCCAGTAACAAGTCGCACGAGCCGAAGAGATCGTGCAGACTATAAGACCGGGAAACAGCGAAGGACTGGATGTGGAGGAGCGCCCTGGGACAAGAGATGGATCGAAAATGGCGGAGGAAGAAGAACGCGAAGACAAAATGAGGGACGGAAGTAACAGAAAGGAACAAGATTTACAAAGAATGGACGACCCCGCACCGCGTTCGCCAGTTGATTCGCTCTCCTCCACTAACCGGCGGCAGCTAGATCAAGAACAACCGTTCGCCTCGTATCTGAGATTTTATGGCCTATTACGTAATGAAGCATGAGTGCAGGGTTAGGGTGCGGTCTATGCATCAGCGGTGGCAGGCTGGGTGGAGTTTCACGCTCTCACCGTGACTGTCATCCACCGCAAGTCGCTAGAGCTCATCAGAGCGGCTTGCCTTTCTTTTCTTTATAAACCTGTCTACTACCCACTATACCAAAACTTCCATCTACACTCATCCTCGTTTCAACAACACAACTGTCAACCAGCATGCCACGAATCACCCAAGACCCAAACCTGGCAGAGTCACCAGACTTTGACAGCATCGAGTTCCAGGCCGTCTACACACCCTTGGCCACAGAGGCAAACCCTGTCGAGAACATCATAGGCACGCTCAAGGCCGCCTGGACACGCGACAACGACGCAAAAAAGGCAGCCTGGGAGGCCCAAGTCGAGCAAGACAAGGCAGCAGAAGAAGCGACCGAACAAGAGTGCCAGGCAGCAGTAGAGGCGGAGGAGGCTATGAAGGAGAAGGAATTTCAAGAGACAGAAGAGGCGAACCAACACGAAAAGGAGAAGAGGAAGCCCAAGGTCCGGAACTTCACAGTCAACAAAGTCGTCGACAGTGTCTCCGACACCCGCCCATCTCCGTACGCCATCCACAAGCTCCGCCAAGGCGAGTATGTCGAGCTCTACTACTTCACACCAGAAGCGTGCTCTGAAGCAGAAAGAGCGGAACAAACTGCAGCTAAGGACAACATCACCTTCACGTCGGTTGGGGACCAGCTCTTCATGAAGCTGGCAGCCGCATACAAGGTGGCAAAGAAGGTCATCCGGGATGAAGACCTAACCTTTAAACAGTTAACGCTCGCCAAGAACGACATGCTTCGCCACATGGGCCAGGAGGAATGGCCGGAGCAGCACATCGTAGCCCTCGGCGTATTCTTCTTCAAGCTGGAGAGCCATCACCTGCGAAAGCAAGACGGAGGTGACACCGTTGTGCTGCGCTACCAGTCGCAGGTCCGTCGCGAGTGGACGGAGGCCCTCAAAGGTACCAGTGATGAGGACGTCTTTGACATCAGCGTCATCAACGACCTACGGCTTAACCAGATGTACACCGAGCACCTCAATGCTCGACATAGCCAAGGCGTTTTATGGTAAGTAACCCAATACCAGGTCCTTTCGAATCGCACACTTACAAGCCCCATTTACATGCCCTCCCAATAAAAATCGACAGTACTGACTGCATCGTCATACGTCGCAATCTCGCTTCGCCTACGCGTCGCACCACCTGCATCACATCGTATGTTTCATTTCACCCGCATCCCGCATCCCACATCATTCTGCATCATACTGCGTCATCGCATCACATCACACTGCATGAGCATCACCGTCCTCTCCTACCCGCTACGACATCAATACCTACAACCCCATACTTCAATTCTGAACACTTACGCATCTATGACACTCCTCACACCACCCATGTGCCCTCATGTCGCATCACACATACCTGTCCAAATATTACACATAATGACCTATGCTCGTGTATCTTACCCATAAATACGTTACTCAAAAAAATTACCTACAATTATGGCATCCTAACTACTAATGTCCTCTGCATCATCATCTCGCTCCACATCTTGCACATCCATTAGGCTCGAGGAACAGCTCACCAGAGCATCAATGAACACCCCCAGAGCGAAGCGTTGCCGTTCACCCTCGCCGTCACCAGAAAGGGCCCGCCGGAGCGACAAAAGGGTCCGCGCAAAACCGGCACAGACCCTGGTCCAGTCGCCGCCACGAGAAACCAAGAAATGTCGCATCACAGAAGCAGCAGTGCCGTTTTTTCAGCTGGGTGCAGCCACAACCTCGACCTTGTCAGCCTGCACCATCTGCCTCGGTCGAAATCCCCACAACGTCTACAGTTGCGCTTCAGAAACACTGTGGGACAGAGTCACCCCAGCCCATTGCACCAAAAGCGACAGGGGGCGTCTCCTCAACCCAGCAAACACAATCCTTTGCTCCGACTGGCAACGCAAGGCCAGATGCAGCAGCACATCTCACGACTCCAAACACGAGTGCTCTGGTTGCGGAAAGCCGACTCACAGAGCTCAGACGTGCCCTCGAGGGCAAAAAGCTTAATTCGGGGTCACCCTACAAGCCGGAAGCATGGAGGCAGCATCTGGAGCGGGCTGGGCTTACCGGAAAGTACCCAAATATCCCAAGCGACCTTCAGCGGGGATTTGACGCAGGGATTCCTGTCATCCGCACCACATTCACCCCACCAAACAAACAATCCGTTGCGGACTTCAGTGACAAATTTGATGAAAACTCGAAGGCTGAGTTTGAGCGTGGCCGATACATCAGACCAGTCACAAAAGCAGAGACAGAAGCCCTCCTGGGTCCATTCCAGATGTCTCCTCTCTCTCTCATTCCTAAACCCGCGCAGCTGGGAAAGTATCGTATCATACAAAACCTCTCGCATCCGCATAAGCCCACCAGCAATATCACATCTATTAACAGTGCCATCGACTCAGACCACTTCCCATGCACATGGGGAACCTTCTCTGTCGTCTGCCTGCTCATTGCGCGCCTACCACCCGGTTCGCAAGCAGCAGTGCGAGATGTCAAGGAGGCCTATAGAACCATACCACTCAAGCCATCGCAATGGCCAGGCATTGTCGTCCGCCTTCAAGGAGAAGATAATTTTGCCATCAACACCCGAAACTGCTTTGGACTCGCATCAGGAGCAGGCTGCTATGGGGCAATTGGAGACGCTGGAGCCCAACTCATGCGGGCCAATGGAATCGGCCCACTCTCAAAATGGGTCGACAATCACCTGTTCTTTCGAATACGTTGAGAGCACCTCTCAGTGTACAATGACCAGCATAGCCAATGGGCAGCCAACATCCGGGAGAACGGAGGGGAACTGCATGATAGAGGAAGACTCTGGTTCCGTGGGCAGCTCATGCCCAATGGAAAGCCAGAAGAGTTTGACGAGGACGTCTCCTTTCCAATCAGAGATCTCTCACAGGCATCTCCAAGGTAAGCAACGTCAAACGCATCAGCCAAACAACCCTCACTCAGCTCGCGCAGATCGGAGGAGGAGCGGAGATTCACTTACTGCATGTCAGACATTGACGCAATATGCAATGAGCTCGGGATTCCTTGGGAAACCGAAAAAGACGTACCATTCCAGTCAGTTGTCCCATTCATCGGTTTCCTCTGGGACCTGGATCAGTGAGAGGTTGCTCTTGCAAGCGCAAAGCAGGAGAAGTACCTCAAGGCTATTCGGGAATGGGAGATGAGGAAGGAGCACAACCTTGAGGAGACGCAAAAGCTTTATGGAAAGCTACTCCATGCATGCCTCATGGTTCCAGCAGGATGTGCATATCTCACCAGCTTGGAGGCCCTCATGGCAACCTTCCACGATCGTCCTTTCATGCCACATACCCCACCAAGACATACTACAAGTGATCTACAATGGTGGAAAGAGAAACTCCAACAACCCCAGATCATCCAGCCCATCCCAGGCCCAGTCCCAATCATCGACCTTGCAGCGTATTCAGACACTAGCTCAAAGATTGGCATTGGGATTACCATTTTACCATCGGAAACAGGTGGCGCGCCTGGCGTCTGCTTCCAAATTGGAAAGGCGAGGGCAGAGACATTGGATGGGCAGAGGCCGTTGGCTTCCTCTTCCTCGTCATTGCGCTCGGCAACACTTACCGCCACCCTGGCATCCATTGCCTGGTCTACGGCGACAACCAAGGAGTCGTCGAGGGATGGTGGAAAGGACGCAGCAGAAACTGGCCAAGCAACCTTATCTTCCGCGATATTCACTCAATCGTGGAAGAGAACAAGTTCGTCATCCACACCCAGTATGTACCTAGCAAAGAGAATCCGGCTGATGGACCCTCTCGCGGCGAATACAGCCCACCCACCCACCTTCTTGCTGCCTTCGAAATCCCAGTCAACCTCAGGCCATACGTCACAGACTACGACACACCTCTTTGCTCAACTGAGCTCTGTCTTATACGGGAAGGAAGAGCACCAATGGCAGCCCCAAGACTTGATGCAGCATCAAGGTGCCAGCAGTGTAGAACCGCAGACGAAGGCCAGGCACAACGTGAGGAAGAATTCACTGCCCAAGCGGAAGCAGAGCGATAAGCGCAACCGCTTTGTGCCAGCAAATCGCAGCATCCAAGAGGTGGACACAGTGCACCCCACCCGCCCACCAGCACCATACCAAGAAGCACTTACTCCACATTTCTCACCGCAACGTCCCCATGTGCTCGCATGAGAACGGTTGACGTGTTGGAAGCCAACCACCCCACGAAATGTCCTTGACGGTAATGGCCATCCCACCAACCTAACCGAAGCCGACCTCCGCAGAATCCTGGAGGTAATGGAGAGTGCATGGGCGGAAGGCACGCGAGAGGGCTATGGGTCAGGCCTGCTAGTATACCACATATTCTGCGATCAGAAAGGGATCAGCGAAGAGCAACAGGCGCCTGCGTCTCCCATCCTCATTGCCTCATTCATTGCTACTATCACAGGCGCATATGCGGGAGGCACCATTTCCAACTATGTCTTTGGAGTGAGAGCCTGGCACCTTCTTCATGGGGTCTCATGGCGGATGAATCCTAGTGAGCTCGAGACACTCTTGAAGGCAGCTGCGAAGGCAGCCCCAGCCTCAACAAAACGGAAGAAGAGGCTACCGTACACAAAAGAGTTCATGCTGGCTATTCGCAACAAGCTGGACCTTGAAACGCCGCTGGATGCCGCCGTCTATGCATGCCTCACAACGACCTTCTGGTCAGCCGCAAGACTCGGAGAGTTCACAGTTAAAAACCTCACAGACTTCAAAGCTACGCACCACGTCAAACCATCAGACGTAATAACCACCACGGATGCCAACGGTTTGACGACGACAGCCTTTCACATCCCAGTTACAAAAATGGAGCCAATCGAAGGCGAGGACATGTCCTGGTCCAAACAGAATGGGGATACTGACCCAGCAGCTGCCCTCAACAAACATCTCTCAGTCAACAACCCACCAAAGGAGGGCCTGTTGTTCGCTTACTGCACCGCCAAGGGCTACAACGCACTTACAAAACCCAAATTCCTGCAGACGCTAGCCAAGGCCGCTCGAGCTGCAGGTCTGGACCCACTGCAAGGTCATGGCATTCGCATCAGCTCAACCCTCGAGTACCTCCTACGAGGTATACCTTTTGAGGTAATGAAAGTCAAGGGCCGCTGGGCCAGTGACGCTTTCCTCACCTATCTGAGGAAGCACACACAAATCCTTGCCCCATACATGCAAGCCAATCCTCTCCGCCACGACGAATTCATCAGGCTGACCATGCCACCCATCCGCCGCGGCTAATCAAGTGAGTCCACGTCATCATGCTCCTAATAGGGTGGTATCCAAGACTCGCTCGATGCGTCGCAGGACTCCTAGTGCTTGGGAATCGCAGCTCATCTCGTTTCCTTTCATAGATCAGGAACTCCTGCCGGGTCGAAAAGCCCTTCGGCTTTTGCCCACATATTACTTCTCATCGGACATCGTAATACTTCAGTCATTCCCTAGCGTACACCAACATTATCCTAATGTAGCTTCCCCGCTCTCTCAGACGTGCTCTAGCGCCAATACATAGACCAAGCCCACTCTCTAAAGCGAGAAAACACGTACGAGAACGCTGACATGATTTGATTTCTTTGACGGGCAGCACCCTTATACTTGCCCGAAAACAGCTGCCGTTCGTTCTCTCTTCCCCTCCTGCCCGCTTCTCTTCCCCTCTTGCTCGTAGTTCCTTCCGCTACACAGTCTTCCTCTTCTCTTTGACTCTGTCTCTTCCTCTCTTTCCCGTGGAGTTGAGAAGCGGAGGGGAATGATCGAGGAGAAAGTTGAGGAGTAGATCAGAGGTAAATATGATGCAGGAAGGAGGCGAGTATCGGAGAAAGGTATAGTGGTCAGCAGGAAAGGTCGAAATGACGTTGTCGTGTCCTTTCCGGGGACGGCAATGGAGATATTATGTAATGCGACCGAAGCCCGGTCAACTCGGCCAATAACTTGACCAACTTGATGCTCCCGACCCGTCATCGTCGCTGAAGGTATCGGGTAATAATTCAGGTGTGTCACCTTTCGTTACAATTTGGAGGGGAAATCTCACTGCATCTAAATATGTGAGTACTTACCCTCAACCCAACGTCCTGATTATGTTCATGAGCGCCTACGGCAACGCCGGCTACCAGTTCCTCCTCTTGCATGAACCTGCCGCGTATTGGGCCAGCCCGCCCTACCGGCGCACGAACCACTATCTGAAGCTGAGGCTGGTCCATAATATGCGCGAAGCAGCTCCTAGTAACGGGCGAGCATTCCTTTGGACTGAGTTCACAATCTTCCGTAAATGAATATCATGCTGTCCGACGCCATGAATTTCTATCCATGAAGTGATCTGAATGTTTCCGCAGAACCGACGCCCAGATCCAGAGGTCACCATAGAGCGAAACAATAGAAGATAGAAAAAGGGGGGGGAACATCTGGCGTAAACATTAGAAACTTTGGATAAGTATTGCAGCACTTAAGAAACTGGATAGGAATGGTAGTCCAATCCGGAGTCAAAAAGTCCAAAAATGCGATCAGATGACGGAAGGGAGGAGGGCCGAGGATAATGAGGTGCAAGTCTATCAGATGTCGTAAATTCTGCTCAAAGAACCTTTAAGATGTTCATAAGCTGCGAAATGGGGGAGGAGAACCTAAAACTGGCAAATCAAACTCTAGAGTGTAAGGTATCCATTCTGCAGTGCAAAGGAAGCAAAGCAGTTCTTCGTCCGATCCCGAATCGTGGGGTAAAGCAAACCTCGCCGTCGTGCATACACCACAGTTTTCGCCGTCTCGCTCTCCATCCACCCAGATGATGCTTGATATTCCTGAATTCGGGGTGACCACAAATCCAGAATAGCGGAAATACGCCCGCGAAGCAGGCAGAGTCTATCTGGTAATTGCTGCAATAAGTCCTGGAGGTTGGAGACAACTTCGCGCCCGGTCTATTTTAATTTTGGTCAATATCTCTATGATGGAGATTATAAAATGAGGCGTACCTTGTGGCATAGGTATTGACCAGACAAACCTGTGTCAGATTCAGCACTAATGTGGGACAATATGCGGTCGAGCTGTAGAAGAGAATATCAGACTTATTTCTGGAAATATCCCAAGAAGAAACGGTCAACGTACATCATGGTGGGCTGCGTTGTCGTCCTCCATGGCGTCAACTTTAATAACACGACTTAGCTCCCCTAACTCATAGTTCCATCGACGGAGGATTTCTACTTGGTCGTTTTCAGGCACCCAATCGGGAATCGCCCCAATGAGCAGCATATCCGCGGAGGTAAATGTGATCGTCTCAAGAGGGGGAACAGCTATATCTCCCAAAATACAAGCGGGAGGCTCAAGGGATCGTCCATCAGGAGTTTCAGCTGAATAGGAGATTCTGAGACAGAGATGGCGTAGCTGGGGGAGCAGCGAATCCGGCCAACTACCTATGGTTTGCCACAGGAATGCGAAAGAGAAAGGAAGGCAGAGGTCGATCACATCCGGGATAAGTGAGAAGAGGCGGCGAAGGGCGTTGTAGAGGTCACCGGGTACTGGAGAACGGGCCGTGGGGAGATTGAGAAAGGTGATTCCACAAGACGACCGCTCGATGAGGGTACAAATAATTGCAATGTCCAAAGTTGCTGCGGCCACAGAGAGTTTGCGGAGACATGGCAGACTCAGGCGGCTAAGGAGTTCATGTGCGGGGCACTCATCTGGTAGGAAAACATGAAGCGTCGCCAAAGATTGGTGGGTGAGAATGGAATTGTTAAGGGACCAAGGTGGCCTAGCCACTACATCGACGCAGCATTCTTCTAGTATTGATGCTGCCTGAGGGACAGTGAAAACACATTCGAAGCTAATATTTGACGCGGAGAACTTGCGTAGTCGGGACCAAGGGAGAAAGAGATTGCTTATCCTGGAGAGGATCCGCCACCGATTCAAGGCGAAATTTAAGTTGACGTCTTGGAGAAGAGGCGCGTGCTGGAATACGGTAATGGGGAGGGATTCTAGAGACGCGGCGTCTGAACCTTGTAGTTCAAGAGACCTCAGAGAATCCCACTGCACAAGCCCGGGAGGTGAAGACCAGAAGGGCATTAATTGGCTTTCCAGTGTCGGAAGATTACGAACGGTGAGCCGGGTAATCCGCTTTGAATGAGGGGATGCTAAGACTTGAAACGGACAGACAGGGTAGTTTGACTTTTCATACGAGATGCTCAGCTTGAAGGGAGCTGAACGCGAGAGCTGTAGTGACCTCGATAGGCGTGATAGGATATCGGAAGCAAACGGCCCTGAGAGTCGAAAGGGTTCTTGGAATGGAAAGGTCGACCAAAGTGTTGGTGTGGCGAGCGCAACCTCACGCCAGCGCCGACAAACTTCGACCACCGCCCATATATCGTTGGAATGGCCTTCGACGACGGTGTGGGAGAAGATCTCCAACAGGACATTGGGTGGGATACGGCGGATATTGCGGATAACGTTCTGGTGCAGAATCACATCGCGTTTGTATTTTCCACGGCGAGATTTCAAATCATCCAGAATGTCGTAAACTTGGTCGATTATCCAAGTGAGGTGCGCAATCTCCGTCTTCGAAGAGGCGATGACCTGGCGGGCGACGGCTGCTTCGTGCGGTTCAGGAGGGTTGTTGGTGGTCAAGAGTGAGGCGATAGGTGAGATAGCTGGAGATTTCGGGGCATTTAGAATAGCTATGTTGCAATGTGGGCACGTTTGCATCGTAGCTGGACAGTTGAAGCATTTGTTTATGGTGGTTGAAGTCAAGTTTCATCCCAGCCCCTATCTTTATGGGTCGGTCACCGGTGTAACAATTATATAACGTCTCCATACGGGATCGAGGCCTATCGAGGTCTGTGTTCAATCCCAATCATTGTCAAAAATCCGGGCGGGAGGGACCTGGCGGTGCAGCCGCTTGCTCTCGGAAAGACGTCGAGTTGTTCGCATTAGTGGCTCTATGGCCGTTACAATCATGATCCCAGTGTACCAGGCGGACAAAAATTCAACGGCAGAGGCGATGAACGACACTGTTGTCGTCATTTACAAGATCTCCGTCATGGGCGCTATGTACTCTCTTCTTATGTGGCGATCGACAGACTTCCTTGGAAGTCTCGTGGGATTCACTAGGCGCCCACATGGGGTCGATGCCTCGAGAATGCGGCCGTCAATTTCATGATAACAATAACTAGTATCAACGTAAAGACTCTTCAGTATTCCAGACACCAAATACTATCCCACATGTACAGCTGGGCCCTAGGCAAATGATACCTTCACATGAAAGGTGTGGCTCGAACAGAGGCCGATCAAGCGTTCGTATGCGGGCTCGTCGAAAGCTACCCAGATGCTGCGTCCAGTATGATCAGGAATGCAAGTCGAAAGTCGTGTCTGCTCCTTGAATTCACCGTTTCCGAGTCCGTATGCAGTCCAAGCGATGGATTCAAGATCCTAAACGAGCGCTTTAAGCACAAATGAACTCGTGAACAGCATAACATTACCTCGTAGGTCTTTGGAAGCGCGATAACGACCCCGCCGCTTCCCGGAGTTGCTGCTCCATATTGATCACATGTAAGGCAAACGAGCCCCGGAACCTTCTTGTCGATGTCTACAGGATCCTTTAAAGACAGCCAGTCATCAGGAGGAGGATCATGGGCGCATCGATTATCCAGACCTTCGTATCATTCTCCGAAGGCTCATGGCCATCCTGGACTTCTTCCTCCTTGACGTGTGGAAGGAAGATTCCCAAAGTATCTTGCGGTGTGAGCAAGGTCCAATTTTGCTGGCAGACGCGGGCCCATAGGGTGCTTTTATCCTCGTGTATGGCACACTGTAAAGGAATATCGTATTTTCTATTGAATTCCCGAGTGAGGTCAGGATCGTTAAAGCATTTGACAACAAGGCTTAAGAAGCTCTATTGGATGGGATTCAGTCTTTGCGGGGGCAAGATCAACTAAGTGCTCACCTGGTAGGTATCAGCCTGAGTCCATGGTACTAGTGTGGACATGCGATGTGTTTCCGTCCCGTGTTGATCCACGAAGAACAACTTCGCAACCAGTCTCTCTGTTGCAGGCATAAAGATGTTTGTCCCGTCATGCTGAGTGCAGACTCGTAGCTTACCCTCTATATTCGGCATTTGTGCTTGTAAGCCTGAGCTCCTGCGCAACACTAGCAACAATTCGTGATTCGCGTGGTGAAAGGCGATGGAATGGTGATGTGGTGGTACGAAGAAACCCCCGCAAAGGGAGCTGTCGTAGGCTCACATAAGCACCCTCTCACAACGTGAGTTGGGTACGAGACTAGGAGCTGTCCCACTATCCTCCGTTGTCAGGCAATCGCCGAATGCGGAGAACGGATAGGTAGGCACTGTGGCACTTTCGTATGCCAGCGAGGTTGAACAAGGCTTCGATTCAACACAAGAAAGGATCAACCCCTCTAGTCGCGTACTGTACATCAAACACTGACAGAAATCCAAATTACAATAGGCTCTCGTTCAAGATAAGTAAGTCGATCGTTCATACATAGATAGGGAAGAAATTGGAACACATGAAACCATAATAAAACCTAGCAGGACAAGAACTCGCAAAGCGCTCCGTGACAACATCGCACCCTGACTCAGCTGCAACTCCAAGTCGCGCCTCCGTGGCCGCAGAACAGGCTGTCGTCTTTCGGACTCGAGGCAGGATGGCTGCGGAGACGTAATCTAGAGAGAAAGCGCTCAAGAGCGTTCGCCACGGAGACGACGGGCGAGGGCGAGGTCCTTGGGTTGACTGTAAAGGGAGGAAAGAAATCAGTCAGAAAAATGTCGAGAAGGAGGAAAAGGAATGGTGGGGGAAGAGACATGACGGAGATGGAGCAAGAAGAGGCCAGTGGAAGGTGGGACCGAGGCTGAAGGGGTAGGAAAGGATGGCGGCACGTACATGGTAACACGCTTTGCGTGAATAGCAGCCAAGTTGGTGTCTTCGAAGAGAGAGACGAGGTAGGCCTCTGCGGCTTCCTGGAGGGCCATGACCGCGGAGGACTGGAAGCGGAGATCGGTCTGGACGCGGTGTCAGTCAGAGTCATATTAGCGGCGGCGAGAAGAGCAAAGATAGGACAAAAGGGATTGAAAGGGTGGGGATGCGGTTGTAATGAGAAAGGATAAGAGAACGCACCTTGAAGTCCTGGGCAATCTCACGAACGAGGCGCTGGAAGGGGAGCTTGCGGATGAGCAGCTCGGTGGACTTCTGGTAACGCCTGATTTCACGCAGAGCGACGGTACCGGGGCGGAACCTATGGGGCTTCTTGACACCTCCAGTGGCGGTCTAGGTGGATGGGTGGTGTTAGATGAAAGAAAATGTGGACGAAGGTAGCGGTAGGAGAGCGAGCGAGAAAGAGAGAGAAGTTGAGCTAGCCGGGCCGGTCGGAGGTGGCAACGACGACAAGCAACGTACCTGGGCGGTCTTCCTGGCAGCCTTTGTGGCGAGCTGCTTACGCGGGGCTTTGCCTAGAAGATAAGAGCCAGACGATGAGATCGCTGACTCTGGGCGGAAAACGGCATATCACAACTCACCTCCGGTCGACTTGCGGGCGGTTTGCTGCAGCAATAACGACGAGCAGCGCACAGCGAGCGCAGGTCAATATCCATCAGCCAAATCGCGTTTTGGTCGACCTAGAAGGTTTATCGTACCTTGGTACGAGCCATTGTGGTCGAAAACTCGGTTGTTGTTGGTGTTTCTTGCGGGGTGGTGGTGGTGGGTGTTTGAGGAAGGGCGGGATGGTGGCAAGGTTCGAGCCCAGTTGACCCCCAAAACACAACGCTAGATATTCTCACGCTCCACAAACGCGCACGAGCCACCGCATTCCGTGCGCTTTTAGGCTCGGAAGATTGACCAATATTCATTTCTTTTCCACTGCCCGTCCCTCTGGCCCGTTTTCCTCCATTCAAGTTGTGCCATTCTCAGATTCATCCGTGTGGTTCATTAAAAATAGTTTGAAGGGAATCTGAGCTTAGGAAGGTGGTGTATCGTCGTAGACTGAAGGTTGGAAGATGGACGTCCCATTCTGGTCATGTTCGGAAGATGCCGGTCTGTCTGGCACAACCATGCCCCATCCATCCATCCGAACGTCGTTTGTTCACCAACCGTAACTTCCTTTCATACACAGCTTTTGATAAAAGACTTCATTTCTCTTTAACGATGTCTTATTTGTCTCTTTCTCTGCATGCCCTTCGCCCAGCTCTTTATCTCGGACTACTGGGCTGCGTTGCTATCGGATCGACTCCAGACCTGCTCTTTTTATCGGCTTCTGCTCTGCCGGCGTCATCATCTGGCCGAGAAACGGAGGGCTCTGCCCAGAGCAGCTTTGCATTTTCAGTCACGGGCGTATCAGGAAATTCTGGGCACTGGGTTCGACGTGCTTGATGCTTTTCGATGACGGAAGATACCCACTCTGATCCTTGGTGTGAGAATACTGATAACAGTCTCCATACTCCTGACGCTATTTTTAGGCCATCGAACGGGGTAAATAGCAGGACAGAATCTCTGGGCCCTCACGTACTTTCGTCGGGCGCTAAGCTGCTTTCATAGAGGAGCACTTCCGCCCCGCTTTCCCTAAACCATGTAGATCCCTTATATGTGGCGCCTCTCCTCAGCCTGTCGGTATCTGCTAAGGATCTCCTCGAGTCGTTCAATACGTAGAACGCATACGAAGCCCTGCAGTTCCTCTCGTCGATACTCTACGAAATGCTCGATCGTACGCTGCCTGAACACATGGACTACCATCGTCGTCTCTGACCCGCATATGGGACGTTTTACTTGGACCACTCCTGCAGGGAGTACTTCCTGCCACTATGCGCTAGCATGGCTTCATAGGGCCCGGACCCGCCGGATTGAAGGCCGATTCTACATACCTCTTCTTTTTGCCTACGACTACTCTACCGCCTATCCTTCTCCTTCTGCGACTGAGCCAACGCGTGAGCGGATCGGCCTTCTTAATTCGCGAAGTGGTGTCTCGTTTGCTTCTTCAACGAGCATGGGATAAATTCGCTAATGAAATAGACGACTTGGGGTGCTCGCTCAGCTGCTCCAAGGACCCGGGGAACCTCTTTTTTTACCAAAGCACTAATCTCAATCAACATCGCTAGTTCCAAGCTGCTCTGTCTATGTACGACAACGCCTGGAATTGCCGAAGCAGGTCTTCTTTGCTCGATCTATGCTTAAAATTTACGGCCCTGTAGTCTTTTCTCTTTCTCGTTGTCGTCATCTTCGACCTAACATAATATATGGGACGCAACCACACCCCGAGATTTGCATTTTTGCAATCGGTGTACGCATCCGGCAATTATGTACATAATAATTTTCAGATGGAAAACAGGCAAGATTAATATTGGGACGTTTATTGATAATCTTAGACCAGAAAGATAGGGGCTAGGGCCCAGGGTTTCGCCTCGTTCAAGCCGTCGGGATGCTTCTTTCCACCACCACCACCACCACCACGATCACCGTAGTCAAAGCGCTTCAATCGTCCAGCTACGATGCAGATATGCCCGAATTGCAACATGGATGTGCTAAATACCCCGGAGTCCCCATCTACATCACCCATCGCCTCGCTCTTGACCACCAACAACCCTCCAGAACCGCGCGAAGCAGCCATCGCACACCAGATCATCACATCTTCCAAGACACAGACCGCACAAATAACCCGGCTAATCGAAAAAGTGTATAGCATTCTGGATGGCTTGACATCTCGTCGTGAAGAATATGAACGCAACACATTTCTGCACCAAAACGTTGTTCGCAACATCCGTCGTATCCCACCCGACGTCTTGTTGGAGATCTTCTCCCATACCATCGTCGATGGCGATCCTAACGACATATGGGCAGTAGTTGAAGTTTGTCGGCGCTGGCGTGAGGTAGCCTTTTCCACGCCTACACTTTGGTCTACCTTTCCTATCCACAAGGGTACGTCAGCCGCCAGCATCCTATCACGTCTTTCAAGGTCACTCCAGCTTTCGCATTCGACTCCGTTCAAGCTGAGCATCTCCTATGGAGTACCCTATCCAATCTGTCCACTTCAAGTCGTAGCGTCCCCTCACTTGAAACGAGTCACCCACCTTACCGTCGGCAACTTTCCACGATCCAACGAATCGACATTCTTTGCACCTTCGAATCCCAGACTCGTCCAGTGGACCGCTCTCAGGTCACTGCACCTCCAATTTGCGGATACCGAGTCTCCAGAAGCCTCCCGAATTACTGTATTTCAGCATGCGCCTCTTCTCCAAGACGTCGACTTCAATTTGACCGATCGGTGGAGGATCCTTTTTGGCATAGGCAACATCCTTCTCCCCTGGTCTCAATTGCGCAAGTTCTCCGCCTCAAATGTTACTCTCGATGGTGTCTTCACCGTCCTTCGGGCAGCGTCAGTGTTGGACGAATGCTACCTAGATTTCACTGAGACATCCATGCCTTCCAATATTGGCAGTCTCTCCCACCAATCTCTGACGACGCTTCATGTTACGTTGCGTGATGAACAGGTCGCACACGAACTCTTTAACCGCCTCACTGTACCGTTGCTCCGCAAGCTCTCCGTGGATGTACCCGCTCTGGACACCGCCGCTGTTTGCGACCTCATCGAGCGGTCGTCTTGCGGACTCACCTTTTTAAGTGCCCCGATGGCCCATTTCCGGGAATCTGACGACCTATCCACCCCACTTCGCCGTCTCTTCTCACTTCTCCCGGACGTGACCGAGCTCTGTATCCCTTTCTCTTTCGCATCCTTTAAGGGAGTTCGGGCCAGGCTAGTACTTTCGCTCCCCCAGTTACGCCATCTCTCTCTCAAAGTCACCGACTCACTAGAAATGGCTATCCCGGATTTGATAGCACTTCGCTGTCTCGTGTACGCGAATGTTCCCCCTCTTGAAACGATCATATTTACCAGTGAGAAGTGCCACCTTTACGGATTGGCGCCTCCTTCGCCGCATTACGGCGGCCCTCAAGCGCAAAGCCTCCAGCGATGGGACCATGAGCTGGGAGAGCTGAGCCATTTTGTGAAAGTCGGTGCTGTGAAGGACGACACGGGGTTCCACCGTGATGTACGTGCTCAGTTTCGTCTTCTGAGATACTCATAAGTGATTCCAATATTGTCTTCTACAGCTTGATCGTATATTGTCCCTCATTAGTGCTGAATCCGAGTCGGGTATTTCTGGTGAATGCCTTTGCCTCACCGTGCGCTTCATAACAATCACCATGTCATTGTAGACTAAAGAAATTATAGGAGGGTCAGAACGTCGTCTCCAAGCTCCAGGAGCTATTGGGGCAACTACCCGTTAGCCTTAGCCTGCAACGCGGGCGTATTTCCGCGATTCTGGCTCTGTGGTTACCTCGCATTAAGGAATATCTCGCATCGTTTGGGTGGATTGAGAACAGCCTGGCTAAGACTCTGGTGTATACACAACGACAGGGCTTACTTTCCGTCAAGGTTCGGGATCGGAAGAAGGACCGCTTCGCCTCGTTCGCACTACAAGATGGATACCTCACACTCTACACCAAAGGTGATGTGCTTGAGTAATCTGAGTCCTTTTACTTGACGTTTGTTGGGGGGACACCTCGAGCAGTCGATATAATCTCCTTCCTCTTCTTTCAGTTCTTCACTTTTTGTACAAATATCTACTTTGACCGCTTGAATATGATGTATCACTAAATTTGATCTTTAAGGGGGCAACTAATAAATAGAGGCTTTGCGCAAAGCCAGCTGGAGCCAGTGCTGGCTCAAAAACGTTGCGCTGTGTCGTGTAGCCAGTAGCGGCCAATTAGTGACTATGCTTTTAACTTAGTCTTATGTAGTACCGTGTATTTCTGGATGCCAGGGGATTTCAATGACAATGCAAGTATCTCATTGTATTCATCCGTGCAGCTACGACAATCTCCAGAAACTAACCTATATATGGAAACTGAGCCAGCAGAAAATATCAACCGTGATCAACCGTTGATCAACCACCCCACAGACTGATATCGCGTGGAGCTCTCCAGGAAATACGAGGTTATAGAGAGATGTAAGTAATATTAATATATGGCATTCATCGGTCTGATATTCAGGTTCTGCTGGCTAAAGGTCTCAGCGCAACGCATTTGAGCCACCACTGGCTCCAGCTGGCTTTGCGCAAAGCCTCTAATATGAATGAACGCTGGCCTAGCGTGACTCTATAATTCTGATGGATTCCCGAGTCTGCGCCCTGAAAACGGTGCCATTCGCGCGATTACGGATGGCAATCGGCGATTCCCTGAGGTCAAAGTTACTCCCGTGATCCTATCTATTTAAAAATAGTACGACAGCGTTCACTATCTTGCTACTTTGTTCCGAGATGCATTTATCCAGCTTTGCAACAACTTAAAACAAACATTTTATGTATATAGTAAGTAGCCACAGATCATCGAATTCGTGGGAACTACGAGAACGACACCTTGACGTGTAGGACGTCGCTAGAACACGTACTCACGAGGTGCTCGTAGACAGACCGGTCGAAAACAGTCCAGATTCTGCGTCCCGTCGGATCGATCAACGAGGTCATAAGTACTGTCTTTGCCTTCGTTTTCTCATGGTCCCCAAACAAAATCCAGGCAAGGTTTCGAAGTTCCTGGAAGGGGGCAGTTTACTAGATGTGACCATTCATGAATTGGGTGCGATGCATACCTGGTGTGTCTCCGGGAGTGACATGAAGACTCCATCTGCACCACTGGATAGAGGCGCATTGCCGGTGAGACATACAAACTTAGGTTGCTTGCCTTGAATGGCTACTTCGTCCTTCGATCCCGCTGATCGTTAGCAGAAGGACCGGGTAAGGGAAAATCCACACCTTCGTGTCACTTCCGGTTTCACGTCCGTCCTGCAGTTCTTCTTTCGTGTATGAAAGAAATATCGCCAATTCATCTTGAGGCCTCATACAAGCCCAACTGCGTTCGCCCACATGTGCCCACACGATGTTTCCCCCCTTGCGCACGGCACATTTCAAGGACATAGGCCCTCTAGGTTGCTTCACAAGTTCTGAGTGGTCGAAGCATGCAGCGGCGTCTCGTAGAAACTTGCCAATTTATGAAATATTATAAATGCTGCTTTCTCTGGGATTGTCGAGATAGCTCACCCCGGAGATGGTAGTGCTCGACGTTGGCCAAGATACCACTGCGGACGCCTGGTAGGTTTCGACCCCATGCTGGTCCACAAGGAATAACTGCATGAAAATCCTTTCTAAAGGAAGTAAGATTTCCTCGTCTCATTGGCCTATTGCTTGTCGTACGCTGCTTAGACATCGTCCTCGAATCTTTCCAAACTATCATGCATGAGCACCACACGCCGCGATAGCAGTACAAAACTGGCTTCCCCTCACCTGAGCTACAAGAATACAGAATAGAGCACCGAAAAAGGGCTGGATGTAGTGACTGAGAATGGCGGCTTGGACGTAGAAAGGCAACCACTTAATCTGGGCGCCTATCGTCTTATCATTCATCTACTCTAGGGCAATTGCCGAGCGCCGGCAAACTCCGGACTGCTCTTCCATCGTCCGTGCGACGACTCTGAGGGCCAGCTGCCAGAAGAATATCCCAATCCAGACAACCACGAGTCACGCAGAGAAAGTCATCATTGATCAACCCGATTAGCCTCGTAAAATGTACAAGGGAGATATTCTCGTCTGGTGTAGGACATCTACTTACATTAATATTCATCATAGGATACGTACCACACAGGCGGCCGAATCTCGAGCTTAGATTTCCAAATGAACCGTATGTACTTTAAACTATGAGTGAGTAAGGTGGATTCGAGACAGTGCTACAGTGCAAGTCAGCGTAGAGCCCCTCGTGAGAACTCCCTTCCTTTTCCTTCCCATTTCGTCTTCTCCGGCCTCACGCGATAACGGCATTCATCTGTTTGCTCCTGACCTCCACCACCGTCGGAAACCCACTGCCTTCTCCTTCCTCTTTTCTCCACTCCATCCTCCACTCCGCTCTTAAACTCAGGATGGAAGGGCTACAACTCCACGACTCCGAACGCGTAGAAAAAGAACAAGAACGCGAGAGGAACGAATGGCAGCTGTCTTCCAGCACGTGTTCGGGTACTGCTTGTCGAGTCGAGTTTTGCTGTGTCTCTTGCTACGTGGAGGGGAGAAAGTCATGGGCTGATCCTGGAGGACAGGATGTCCAGCCAGACGAGAGGACCCACCTCATACCCGCGCTGACCAAGCCTGTTGGGTGCGTATTCTTTTTCGTGGAGGTTGTGACATGAATCGGGGCGCTAATGGGATGGGCAGGTACAGTTCGTAGCTGCCGAGCCTGTACGTCGCGGACACCCAGAAGATGAAGGAGCAGCTTAGCACGATCGTGGAAGGGTGCGCTACTACTGGTTTTCACTCTAATACCAACTTGTTGATTTGTTCTCTTGGCCGTACAGGAGAACGGGCAACGTAGTAGCCTGCCTGAGGTTCAACGTTCAACTTTCAACGTCAACTTCTACAACCGCAACCTGTCAGTGGCGCTGCTCGACCCCTCTTCTTCGGCCATCGCCTCCCGGTCGCCATCGAAGTCAACGTCATATTCGAATCTTCCTTCTACAACAAGTGCTGGACCGACCTCTGGATCCGCTTTAGCACCGACACCACACCGCCCGTTCCAGCTCCAAATCACTCAAATATCACCTTCGTATTTCCATATGAACAAGTCGATGCGCGCGTCTCGTCCGTCATTTTTCCCTCCGAGTCAAAGGAGGGCAGTCTAGTTCCCGTGACTATGAATCTACTCGGAAGGTTCACGAGAAGGAGAGGGTAGGCTCCTCGAGCGGAAGTAGGTCGGCGTTTGGGCTGACCCTCGTGCGTGTTACTGTTGAAGAAGAAGGGGCAAGGCTGAGGATGAAGAAAGTAAGGAGGAAGCGGATGGTACCGGTGCTCCATCAGGGAATGAGAACGGGCGCACCGCATGTACGACCGTGGAGAAACTCTGAAAGCTTCAACGTTGGGACTAGCCGCCGACCCTCTCCGCCTCGCCGCACTTGCCCACCGTAGGTAATAGCACCTAGCTATCGCCCCTCGGGCCTTCGCATCTCCGCGATTGAATGTTCCTATCAATTGAAATTCATTTGTCCCAGGACCCATGCCTTTGATCTCGTCCAACGTCCAGACGTCAAAAAGCTTATTGATCATCACTTCTTTCTAGACCCCGTGCGGTTCCGAGTCGATTTCCCTCCATCCTCCGTCCTCTGTCCTAACGTTCGTACCGTCTTGGGTGTCTTGAGCTCACGTCTTCCAGCGCCGTCCGGCCTTTTCCCCCTCCCCTCTTTCCATCCATCTCTTCTCCTTTCTTGATTTGACCCAGGCACAAATCCCACACACAATATCCACGAACCTAGATTGCCCTTCTTTCTGTTAATTGCACATTTTCCATCCCCCACGTTCATATCCACCCCACTCCCTTCTGTCAACCTGATTTGCTCCGTCTGCATAGTTTGTTTCTTTCCTCGAGCATCTGCCCTTCGTTCGTTCATATTTTTGCACGATGCCGTTCTGTCGTCTCCCGTCTCACTTATTTTTTCCCTCCTCAGAAACATCATCGCCCAATTCCTTTTCTTTTTCCAGGTTACCCTCTCGCTATTGTTGTTTCTTACAGACCTCCACGACGCAATCTTTGAAACCTTCCCCACATTTCTGGTACAACAGACCTAGACCATACCTCGTTCTGACATTTCATTGTATATCTTCACCCACGTTCGTTTTTCATCCTTTTCTTTCTTTTCTCTGCCATCTCGGCTTTCGCCGTTCTTCTCACATTTGACCTCTTCACCTTTCCCTATCTATCTGATTCTATTCGCTTTACCCGACGCAAATTTAAAGGGTTGACAGGAGCGCCCTTCCAAATCTTCGTCAGGCGTCAACTCGGGTTCCAAAATGGCCTGTTAAAATGGCCTTCAGGACGGCCTCGCTGTGAGTGTCAACCTCACAATCCCCATCTCTTTCTTCCCATCCAGCAGCTATCCGTCGCGCCTCATCGATAGTCCCTCCTTCATCTAGGATAGGGTGAGATTTACGGTTCGAGTCGCATAAATGAACGAGAAAGATTTACACGGTAGTTTTAGGAGTCGGAATCAATCTGTGGATGGGGATAAAGGCTTCCAATGGCCATAGTTGCAGAAAAAGATTGGAGAAAGAAATGAGCGTCAAACCCCTCGTGAGAACACACTTCCTCAAAAGGCTATCTCCCACTTTCGGCATCTGCGACCCTGAGTCACACGGCTCATTTACGGCTTCCGTCCCGGAAGGGCGTGATAACGGCATTCCTTCTCTTGCTCCTGACCTCCATCCCCCTCGTCCGTCCGGCATCCACCTATCTCCCCTTCCATCCTTCCATCCCTGAGAGACGATAGGAAAAGAGAGAGTGGGAGAGGACGAATGGCTGGCGTCTTCGAGCGCATATTCGGGTGTTGCTTGTCGCGAAAACGAAGCCAAATTCTCGTACGTCGTTTCTTTTCATATGAGAAGGAATAAGAGTTAATCGGGCGCGGTGGCCGTAGAATGTACAGCCGGACGAGAGGACGCACCTCATACCTGCGCTGAACGAGCCTGTTGGGTGTGTACTTTCCTTCGCGGGCGAGATATTGGTGCTGACGAGTTGGCTGCACGTGCGGATGGGTGAACAGGTCTTCGCTGCCGAGCGTGTACGTTGTAGACCACGAGAGGATGAAGGAGCGCCTGAGCACTATCGTTCGCTCGAAAGAAGGGTGCGTTATCCCCTCAGTATCTTCTCCATCCCTCACCAACTCACGATTTTTCTTGCGGACAGGAAAATGGTCAACGTCGCCGCCCGCCTGCCGTTCAACCTGCACAATCGTAACCTGTCGGTAACGCTTCTGGACCCCTCGTATTCAAATACCGCCTCTCGCTCACCGTCTACGTCTACGTCGCATTCCAACCTCGCCTCTGCCGCCAACCCCACCTCAAACTCCAACCCAACTTTTGCCTCAGCCTCGGTTTCGGCACATCGTCCCTTCCCATTGAAGTTCACACCTATCTCGCCCTCGCACGTGCATGGACAGGTCGGCGCACCGCTCTCGTCTGTGGTCTTCCCCTCTGAGTCGAGGGAAAGCAGTTTAGCTTCCCGAGAACGCGAGTTCCTCAGGGAAAGGACGGGAGAGAAGGAAATAACGGGCCAGAGGGAAAGGGTCAGCTCGGAGGCATCGAGCGGGCGACGGTCGTTGTTCGGGCTTACGCTGGTGCGTGGGCCATTAGACCCGGCGAAGAGGGGAAGGAGGAAGCAGAAGGGTGTCGAAGGATCTGTGGACGGGACTGAGGGCGGTGGTGCTGGACCTGGGAACGAGAACTGCCATGGAGCGCGAGACCACACGCACCAAGAAACGACGACAGCTCTCACAGAAAGCACCCCCGCCCCTGGGTTCGCACTCGCTGTCGACCCCCCAGCACCAGAACCCGGGCTCTCTGGCGTTGACATTGTCAAGAAACCCCACTTCGTCTCTGCCTTAAGGTCAACCTCGCGCGCGTCGTCCGTGTCGTTCAAGATCCACGACACAGGTCCGTTGACTGCCAGCTGGGGTTCTTGAGCCGTCTTACCCCCCCCCTATCACTTCATTTCGCACCAGTCCTTCAACCTTTCCGTTCCATACCCACGTCAAATCAAACGTCGACGTTAAAATGCTTGTCGGTTCTTTCTAGGTCCCGGACGGCCCCGTTTCCTTCCTACCCTCTGGCACCAGGCCTTCGGTAGATGCTCGGTTCTGTTACGCTCTGTCCGTCTTGGGCGTCCTCAGCTCGCGTCCTGCGGTACCGGTGCCGTCCGGCTCCCTCGACTCTCCCTTGATTCGGTTCATTTCTTTTTCCCTCTTTTGATGTTCTTTCTGATACTGATATACCTCCACGACACGATCTTCCCCACATCATACATACCCCACACATCATATCATCTATGGACCTAGACTGCACTTCTTTCTGATATTATTTCAGCCGCATCCACTCTACTCCGTCGCCCACCTTGGCTTTTCCTCTCTCTGCTTTCTCTGCTCGACATCTTTTCTCCCATCTCCCATCTCCGCATCATTTTGTTTCATTTCATGACATGTTGCCCAGACCCCATCTGACCGTCCTGTATTCATCTTCTGTCACATCGATTCGTCCGGTCCTCATCTTATCGCACTCGTCTCTCACGTACCCAATGCCATTCCAGACCCTCCGAATATCTATTTCTGCTTCAGAACACGGATTTCTCCTCTCTTCACGAGTGTTTACCCACGTTCGTTCATGATTATACGCGACGCCGTTCCGTCACTTCCTGTTTTCCTCCCTATCGCATTTCCGACTGACATTTTCTGTTGTCTGATATCTGTACGTGTTATAAAGATATCCTACGCTTGTCCGCGCGGTCCATATGTTGGATTACCTCCATCGCACCCGGAAAGTGCCCTCGAAGAAGCATCTGTCTCGAAAGTTCGTACAATCCCCCTTCCATAGGCAAATCGGTAATATACGTCTCATTCAGAGAACTCCACGGGCCGAGTGTCCGGGTCAGGACCAAGTCTATGCTCGGCAACTGCCCAAGATGCAAGATAAGAAGATAGGCGCCCAGATTTCGAGGGTTCCGTCGTACGACCACATCGCTGCTCTATCTGTTACCTCTCCCCCACTGTGTTCGTGAATATTCTCAGACAGGTGAGTGTTGACGTAACAAAAAGTTTGTCATGCTGAATGCGCGCGGTCCTAGGAACAGAAATTGAGACGCAGGGGAATTGTTCGAGACGATGCCTAGAGGTACGACTATGCATTCTCCCGGACGGGGAGAGAGTTTGCTTAGGGAACTTTTACAGATAGAATTTTCGTCAAATTATTCCTCGTGGATCAGCACGGGAGTGAGGCCTACCAGATGTCCACCCTCGTTCTCTGGCCTGAAAATAGCTGGGTAAGTTTTTCAACTCAGGAAGAAAGGGTGGTCGGCTCATGGCCGATAATGTCACAGTTTAGCACCTTCCTGTACAATGCAAATAGAAGCTTCGAACATCCAGGTCTACGAAGTGTCCACGATACATACCCATGGCAGCAGCGGTATTCTGTGAAGTGTGCTGTGCGCGACGGGGGAGACACTGTGTGGACACACGTCTGCGATTCGAACTGGGTCACAATTACACCTCAGGATACCTTGGGAATATTCCTTCCGTACGTAAATGAGGACGCTCAGGACGGGTATGAACCCGGACACGTTGCAAAGGTCAGCCAAGTCCTCTGCCTCCCCTACCTCGCTCCTACCTGCTTCAACTATTCAGGATCTGGGTGCTGTCGCGAAGAAGCGTCCTCGCCTCGCCTTCATTACTTGCGATGAAATTGCACCTCCTGGGGCGGACGGGATTTTGATCCCTTTCCCGGAGACTTACAAGGTACATAATCTTTCGCCGTTCATGGATCCTATTCGCTCTCAGATTTTCAACTCTCGTTAGGATCTCTAAACAAGCGTGCAGTTCTTCTTCGGGCCATTCTTCGGCAAATCGATCGAGAAGATGCAGCTTTCGACGGGGATGGTGGATCCTACGGGACGCAGCAGCTGGGTCGTTTTCACTGAGTCCGTGTACGAGGACCTGGCCGACATCTGCTCGACCGACGTTCTTCATATCAGGGTTTCATTTTCCTAGGCTTTAAGAATCTGTACAGCTGCTACTATCTTTGACCTCGCTCTGCATCCAAAGTCATCCGACAGATATTAGTACTCTAAAGGGTTGAGACCGGAACACTTCCCTCAATCCCAAAGAACGAGATTACCATGTTGTTAGAGTTCGTGTAATTTCTAAGGAAGCCGCCTTCAATTCCGCGTCAACGTCGTAGAAGCTTGGTCCTGCGTTATTTGTACTCTGTGCGTAGGTATAGGCTAATAGGTGCTGCTTCGGTCCGGCCAATCGCCGAGAACGCCGATTGATCAACACTCTTATAATTATCTCCTCGACCTTTTCCCGTCTCTTCTGCACCATCCACATCAGCTTGTTCAAAACGCACTTCATCCGAACGCGTCAGATTCCTGCTTGCGCCTCCTGGTACGTCACCCGAGATCAATGGCTTTCACTCGGCTCGATTGCCGCAAAGCTTTAGAGGTTCTCGTAGCCACTATCGTCCTCCTCGCCTGGGCCAAACATGGTGCGCTCGTGATGCTCTTTAGAGTACTGTAACATATCCACGGTGTCATTTAGTATTTCGATGTTAATCCCACGCGCTATCTGGCGGTAGATGTGCACCGTAGAAAGCGAGTCAATGTAATAGATGTTTGAGGACTTCGGCGAAATCGGATCGAGGTGGAGTTGGACTGAACGTAGGGCGGGCCATCCGCTCGGCTGAATGTCGCCTCTTCTTCCCATACAAGCAGTAAAGGATCGCCACATGAAGCTTAGTTGCCCATGATATACAAATTGTCGGAGGTGTGGCAGTAGAGGTCGTTCTTCACCAATTGGTGGCGGAGAAAGGGCGTCGAAGAATGAGTACGGCAACGCGGGAGTGCGGAGCGAGAGGTATTCGACTGTAGCAGTCGTCCATAGAAAGGCGAGAAGGTTTTCGTCTTCTGGCGTCGATAGAGAAGTCTGTACCCGCTCAGGCATCCGACTCGCAATCGACAATGATGTAAGACGACATGACGATCGATGTAGGAGGGAGGACAAGGATGCGAATTGCCGAACGGGGATGGTGTATTTGAGATTCTCAAGGCAGGGTGTGGTGATTCTATCGAGAATGGCGCTTGCCGCCTCTGCGTTGATAAATGTAATGTCCAACTCGGCAAGGCATAGAAGGGGGATAAGGTCGGTTATCGTAACATGAAGGTGATTTCTGTCAAGGTGAACACTGACGGAACAACATGAAACCAGAGGGGCTTGCCGGAGGACGCAGAGAAAATCAAAGGTGGAAATGTTTGCGAAGCGAATATTTGTCACCTTCCACCAATCAATCCGCACGCAGGTGTACGGGATCCCGTCGATCGAAACCTCGTTTGGAGAGGCAGGGGGGCTACCTGTGTTGAATACTTCACCTCGGTGAGTGGATACATTTCGAATACCGTGCGGTGGTTGAATAAGGAGACGCCTCAAGTTGGAATTAATTCCCCGAAGCTGAGGATAGAGTGAGAACGGGATCGAAAGCTCCAAGCACTCCCACTGTTGCGAATATTCGTTGATGATCTCGATGACGTCCGTGAATTTGATCAGATGGGCTTCTAAATTTGATTTCGCCTGGTTATACGATATGTGGATGGAGAGGGGGAGGAGACCAGCTCGCGAGAGCCATTGCCGCAACAGCGCCATTGGAAGGTGGTACGTGCCTTCAAATGTGTTAAGATTAACGTTGACCCGCGTCCATAGCATCGGCGTGGTACGCGCGATCTGGTCCCATAGTCGTGAAACTGCACATAGCTTCAGAGGGCTGGAGGGAGGAATTCGCCCGGCGGTGGTGCTCAGGACGAAGATGTACGAGGCAACCTCAGGCGGGAACCGATGGTTGAAGACGTCGTGCTTGTGGTCGTTGTTGGACTTGAAGGCGTCGAGATGAGCCTCCAGATGGGTTAGGAATGCTTTAGTCTCTGCGATTTGAGCTCTGAGGTTCCTGACCTCGAGACACCAATGGCACATAAGGCTGCCCCGTGGTGGAATGACAGTATAACGAGCGCTGGTGGTGCCGTCGGCCCCGCAGGCGGTGCATAGACACATCTGTGGTTAACGGGAATTCGGGCGTTGGTTGGAGCGGGCTTCACGACGGTGGTGGATAAGATCGATCAAAGCCTATTTTCGCAACAAGGGACTTGGTCAGAACATAGAAAATTGGCATCGCCCGCAGGATTTTCCCAGATTCTCACGAATTCGAACTCGCCTATTCGCTACTGTAATGAGTCTCGATTCTACGTGCTCACTCACTTCCACCCACGGACGTAGCAATTTGGCAGATGACGTGCCAAGGTTTCAAGTTATTACCTCGCGAAACTGAAGATCAGGGGCTCTCCGTTGTCTCGCCAGGTTCGGATTTTCTTGCTCTAAGCTCATAACAGGGAAGGTCATAATTTCATACGTCCCATCCGCGACGCATCTTATGATCATTATTCCTCGCATCTAACCCCCACTCCTCTTTCGTCAGATAAACCACCTTCACCACCTTCCTCTCCTTCCTCTCCGCTTCACACAACCCATCAACGTCCCTCTCCACTTCCTCCGAGTCCGTCCCATCCACACCTTTCGAGTCCCTCAAAAGCACCTCCACGACATCCAACTCGGGCGCACAGACCGCCTTGCTCATAAATTTCAGCGCATTCCTTGGCGGCCTCACTACCGTCAATTTCTTCAACCTCGGCATCCAGCTCCGCTCCTCCTGGGCCACGTTCGTGTTCACCACCCACTCGTTCTCCTCGTTGAACCACGGACTCTCGTCGTACGCGATCGTGCACTCCTCGATGTAAGGACAGGCGAGGAGGAGCGGGAGGAAGGAAGTGGTGTATCCTGGTGCGGAGAGGGAGAGTGTACGGATTGAGATTGAGGACGAAGAGGAGGGGAAGTCGAAGTTGGAGAGGGCGTGGCTGGAGGAGATGGAAACCGAAGGGACTGATGGGACAATGATTCGTGGACGGGGTGATTCGGCGTAGTTAGGGAGTATCTCGAGGCAGGCTACGTGGGGATAAATCGAGTCAAAGAATTTCGGCTCGAGAGCCAGGTGCGCGCAGCGTTCCATGAGGAGGGAGGTAGACAGAGATCTCATCACATCGAGGGATGTTCGGCGGTTCATGGCTATCGTGTCGATAGTAAGCCTGAAAGGAAGCGCACCGGCGCGCTGTATCCACTCCGAAACACAGCGTAAAATCTCCGTTTCGTCGGAGATATGAGGTGGGAGAGCGACATTCGTCCAAAGGGATGGAGTTGAAAACACGATAGCGCGCCACCGTTGGCAGACGTGGGCGTATCGAATGACCGCGAATGGCTCGGTTCGGGGGTAGGCGTAGTCGACTATGATTGCAATAATCTCGTCCGGAAGGACCCCAACATGCGAGTCTGACGGACGGCCGAAAACATCGAGGGCGACTGTCGAGTTATTCGTCTGGCGTGCTCGGGGTGACACAACTGCATTTCGAGGTGCACCTTGGGTCGGGGAAAGTGGCACGGATCTGACAGGCGGTCGACCAGCGATTCGTCGGCGCGTCGGGCGGCTGATTCCAGTCCAACTGAGTGACTGAGTCAGGAGAGGAGATAGCGAGTAAGACATCTTGATCCTTAGGACGCGAAAGAATGGGGTCGATTTACCGTGACTGGCCCCAGGATGGGCCGTTTATAAACGCGCCCGAGTGGCTCAAACCCGTGAGTCAAGTGGCTACGCACTCACAAAGCGCTTGCCAAGCTATTTTGGACAATGGGCGTTTGCATCGATCTGCACGGATATGGAAGTGATAGACGCTTTGCACGGACCATTCGGGCGTGATCTTTTGTCTTCGAAATGGCCTTTCACGGAAGATGGTGTTCTCCTAAAAGGTCGAAACGACGTCAGACCGGATATGATGGTTGGGGCTCCTAACATACCAAGGCTCGCCGAAAGGAAGACCCGCTTCAAGTCCGTTCATATTTTTCTCTATTCGTTAATCGCTAGATTCAAAATTAGCGGTTGTATACAACGAGAAATATTTAGCACAGACGTAGAGGTGCTCCCGTGTTCGTCAGTCTTCATGCACTGCACCCAAATAGGAGTACTGGCGCTAAACTCGGCGCTCCTGATCATCGATAATCCGCATCAAAGTCTCCGCAATATCATCTCTCAACCTCGGGTCCGCCCATCTTCGGACCCGCGAACCAGGACGTAGCGCTTCCGAGCCGCAGTGCGATCGCGTGGACGCGATTGAGACCATCAGCTTATCGGACATCGGTGGAATAATTCGGAAAGGTCGATCTTTCTAAAAGAAGAAAGAGACGAGGCTCTAGGAAGATTGGCACGGAACAAGAAACAGAGCGCACGTCTTCCACCTAAATGACACATGCATAGGGCAAAATCTCCTCATCATCATCTCCCACCGTTGCCCACGCAGACCTAAAGAGGGCTGCACGTCGCAAACGGAGGATGGAAAGCGGCTGAACCCTCTGCAAAGCATCAGGGGCGAGGGTCTGCAGGGCGAGGAATAAAGCATATATCTCGGGCCAATAAGATCCATGCAGAGGAGAAGACATCTTTGCGAGCGAACTCCCGCTGCTCCGCCACCAGGTCAAAAGACCTCCACGCTCAAAGTGCGGGAGATGGCATACGACTAGATCTCCTCCGCAAAGCATCTGGGGGTGTACGTATGAGCGCTAGTGTCAGTTGGAACCTACAAAGAGACCAAAAACGACTGGACCAAGGTGTCCAGTTCCCAACACCAAACTTGCAAGCCCAAGGAACCGGCAAGGCCCGCCCAACCTGACGCAGGAGAACTTGAGGCATCCCAGACCCGTTTCCGAGCGCAAATAAAGATACTTGTGAGGCCCTAATCACCCCCGGGCTGAAGCTAGGAGACAGAGCACCTATGCCGCCCCAGGAGGGAAATATTAGCCACACGTCCCTCCTCTGCGCTGGATGTCGATCATGAGGGGGCGAGATAAATGATAGGGGCTATGATAAAGCCTGGGTATAGTGGATAGATGGTGAGTGTTATATATTCGCCATAGCGCAGACTGAATCTAGAGGCTGCGGCAGAACGGTACGCAAGGTGTGAGATATATGAGTGCAAAAGAAAGAAGATGACTCAATTTGAAAAGGCTTCCCCGAGCATCCCTTTCGCTTTATGTCGGGGATTTGGCGATCAACATCGTTATGCGTGAGGTACCCAAAACTTGCGCCTGCACCACATGAGGGTAGCCAAATGAGAAAGCCGTCTCGAGCGATAAACGTATCGAATCGAATGACACGCAGAGGAACCTAGGTGTATGCCGAATATTTTTCTCTGGGTGTGACCAACGCAAATGCGCTGTCCATCTAACGGAGGAAATTTCCTTTCTCCGTCATCGTCTTCCGCGTGAGAAGTGAATCGAGGGACAAACTCGCCAGGGCCTGTTAGGAGGCATAAGCTGCGGAAATCGTGGGCATAGAATGACGGTGGAGGTCCGAAATGGAGAGAACGCGTCGGCGGAGTGAAGCACGGCGTAGGGCGGTGCTGCACCATTGCCAGCGCACGATGGCGATGGCCCTTCAGAGCGCCAGCGATATTGAAGGGGGCGATCTCTCGAGCGAAGTTGGGTAGGTGCAAATGGATGGCCTCGAGAAACACAGGAGACGGTCGAGCGAAAGAGAGAACATGCACCCGACTCATCCACAATCGATGAGGTGGTGATAGCGAAGGCAGAAGGCAGAAGGCAGAAGGCAGAAGGCAGAGGCTCCGGCGGACGTCGGCCCGAGAAAAGAGCAGATGCAGGATAAGATAAGATTTCATTCGGGTACGGAGATCGCCGACATGACAGGCACAACCGAACCATCGACTCTAATCGTCTTGCCTCTCTCTTCCCTCTGTTCGAACGTTCACCGTGCATCCCAATGCGAATTCAAGGACTTGGCGTTTCATTCCAATGCTACTCATGGTCGCTGAGCTCTTCAGTGTGCTCGACACATCCCGCAGCTCACGACGTCCATTGCAGCTCGAGTCCTCGGCAAGTTCTGTACACGTGTTGCGAATCGTAGCTTCACATCCTCTGCACCAACTCACCACACCTGAGCTCCAGATCCATCGACGCGTCTGCGCGCTCTTCGGAATATGCATAAATCACACAGCACGGAGAACAAGAGCAAAAAACGACGACTTGACCGTCAACGCGAATGCGAACATCAACGACGGGGCAAGCGAAGGCTATAGTCCATGACTATGGATATCTCATAAGTAAGTTTTCCAAGTCTTCATGAGTGGGATGACTGGCTCAGAGTAATAGGCACATTGAACTCCATCGCAGTTAGTGCTTGTGTCTCCAAGGCACACCTTCTGCCCAATAGCGGTGTCGACCTCGATTGCGACGAGTGACTTCCCACCGCGAAGATCGTCGGGGAGAGAGGTAGGCACAAAGTACCTCCAGAAGACGTAGTTCGAGCCGGCGCTAGAGTGAGCACTTAAGAGGTCAGTCTCTGTCCGTATTCCCAACGACGAGCGTGGCTTACTATGCTTCTAGACGTGGCATGCGATTTCCAAGCCATGTAAAATTCTACAGCAGGAGAATCGGCGGAAGTGGCGGAGGAACGGCCCGAACGGAGTCGCGTTGCAGCAGGTAAGTACGAGGGGATTTCATCACTGGACAAATCACTTACCTTGGACCTAGCTCTCACTTGGACTGCCACCGTCCAATGTCGGCGTTCTGCTCTTCGGCGACGTTTTCTACGTCGCGCGCGACATTTAAGCCATTGGCGTGAGGACACGTGGGAAGTTGGGAGTCTTTCGTTCTCATCATGGAGAACCCACCTGTGGCCTTAGAACTCCTCTCTCCGTCATATGCTTGCTCGACATCGGTGTGGGCGATCAATATTCAATATTCAATCGCGGCACGAAGGGCATTTCGAGGTGCTCTAGCTGCGTCCCTAGACGTGTCCCTCGCCTTTGAGGGCAGCGAGACGTCGAACTTTCATGGCGAGTCTCTCAGTATTTCGCTGGGCTCTTGCGTTACCCGCAGTGTTCGCAGATCCTTTGTATACCCTTCAACGGCGGCACCTGTTACTCCTACACCAAGCAGGTGAGTAGAGATCAACATCATACACGAAGACGATCACTAACGCTCCTCATTGCCCCTAGCCGTCGTTCTCGGCCACAGACTTCCTGGTGCAAGGTTTCCTTCACCCACACTCATCTTGGCGGTGGGCGCTCTTTCTTCATCTGCGTGAGTTGGCTGCGGAGAAGAGATGAGAGTAGGTTGAGGTCGTCGTTATCCACAAGTTTATGAAGAGTCTGCCAGTGGTAAATCACTTGATACTGGAGTCTGATTGGACCGGTACGGTATATTCATGCAGAACAAAGTCGAGGTACAAGCGAAGTAACAGAGCATAAGTAAAAGAGAACTTTACGATCTACTGTCCTCATTTGTGGTAACGAGTACGTCACTATGGAAAAGGCCTCGCGCTGTATGACTGGGACGTCAGGGTTACACGGGTCCTTCGAGAGCCTGGCAAGTTGCACTCTGTCTGTTCAGGAATAACTTGAAGGCAGTGCCGGCAGTTTCAGCAGCAACCACAGTGCCCTTGACATACATAATTCCAGCAGACATGTCACCAGTGCAATCATAATTCCTGTTACACAAAAGAATAAATTAGGACCCATGTCAGATCTGAATCTACGGTGACAGCAAGAGCAAGAACGTACGAGTGTCCATAGCAGGTCACCGACTTGCAAAACACTGCCATCACATCGCGGTTGCCGTTGCGCGTGCCCAAAAGGCACATATTGTACGAATATACAACTTCTTCTCCCCCCTTGTACTTGACAGCGACGTACTGAAGAAGATTCCTTGGTCAGCCCATTGAACCACAGCATACACATTACGGAGAACCGAAACTTGGGGTACGTACAGCGTTGGATCCGCCGTCTTCGCAGAGTTTCCCAAGATTATTAGCGTCTTCAAGAGCAGCGCCGCTCAGCTCCTCCATAGGGACAGCGCCTTCAAGGTCTCCGACAGCGTCGGGAAGGCTTGGGGCCGAGACTTGAGGAATGCCGAGTGCGGTGTGTGCCACAGTAGCGAAGACGAGAGCGATGAGAGAGAGGAGCTTCATCTCGGAGGCGGGTTTGTGTTGGGAAATTTTCGTGCACTGCACTTCTCTTTTATACTCTGCGTCCCAACCCACATATGGGATGCCCGAGAATGTAGAAAAGCTACGAGTAATTGATAAGGGTCCCGCATGGCGGGTGTCCTTGAATCAATAGTTGCAACCTGAGGAGGAATAGATCGCTCATCATGAATGTCAATTAGCGATATCTCTGGCATGTAGAGACCACGCGAAGCTGCTATGATTAGGATATTACTTAGTACTCAGATACGACGCTTCTTGGTAAATCTCTTGTTTGATGTTTCAAATCAGCACCCTCTCTTAACATTTATGGTGCTCACATTATTAAAGACTATATATCTCTTCTGGACGCTTTCTCAAGCAGGTCTGGAGGTGCCTTAATTTTATTTAGGTTGGTCTAGCTCGTGTAAGCTAGAGGAAGCTATCAGTTTTTTAAGCTATAGAATATTTGGCATAGTCGGATAAATAGAGATAAGTATAGACATGTTCTTTGGCACTGGTTCTTCCGGCGGCGTTAACAAAATTCACTGGGAAGCGATTGGAGGCGATCCAATGCAAGGATGAAGGCACCCCGAAAAGGAAAGGTTGATTGTTGCGCCACACCAGCGACGTTGTATCACGCTACGTCACGTCTACTTCAGCCTCACCGTCGCTCTCTGAGCATGTTGGTGTCCTGGTACCCTTACTTAGTCCTCAATCTGGGCCTGACAGGTGCCCTCACAAATACGCTGTGTCCATGCCCAGGATCGTGGATCGTTCCTCTGCATTCAACCAAACTGGATCGACCAAGGTCCAAGACATTTTCGCACTCCCTCATTTCGATCATCCAATTCCAGGTCTATCCCCACCCACGAAGTCCCTACCAACAATTGTAGGTCTACAGAGCATGTCAGTGCGCCTGTATCCTGTAATTATAAAGAGGATGACTGCTCGGATTCGGAGAGGAGAAATCTCGGTATTCCAACCCAGGCCGTGGACTGATAAAATGAAATGAGGAGTACGGCGATCGACCACGTCGATCACTACGGCGGCATCTGCCGACAGTGAGAGGCAGGTTCGTCCCGCCTTTGCAATCTCTTCGCTATACCACCGTAGATACCCTATTCAACATGGAAGCGCACAAAGAGGTATCAATGTGAGAAGTGCCATTGCACGCTGCCCCTCAAACTGCCTGCAAAGACAGTCAGTCAGAGACCTTTGTTGGAACAAGCAAAGAACAGCGAAAACAGCCCAAGGTCGACAGAACAACGCACCTTATCAAGATGGAGGTCGAACACAGACATCGACTGCGGAGGTTGGCGATGACTCGAGTGAAAGAGACATGAGGTAAGTCTGAGAAGTATTCGAGCATTAAATAGGGTACTTACCGTGATATGCAGCACTCTGCGACAACAGCGCACAACTTGCACTCCGACCTCGCCTCCTTAACACCAACAGCACCCTCGCCTCCTACCGCACCGTGCGGCGATGGACCAGCTCCCAAAGGGGACCAAGACACATTGTACCCCCGAGACGCCAGATCTAAACCCACCGGACACATCGTGAGTGCCCCACCCAATCATCGACGATCGCTACGAACTTACTGTGTTTTAATGTGCTCCATGGGGTATTTCGACGGCCGCGAGGGCAGCTAAAGCTTATAGAGGGTAGTGGAGGACGTTTTCCCGGAATCGGTGTGGACGACGGTAGGCCAACACGAAGGGTGGCGGAGAACGTCTGTATGGAGGTGAGTTTCTTGTTGTCGTGTACGTTCGCGATGGTCTTACCTTGTCTCTAGGCCGCGTACGGTGTGTTGGACGACGATGACGGTAGTGACAAGTGCCTGGATGGCTGAAAGAGCGGGCAATGTCTGGGATAAGATGAGTACGAGGTTACTGAAGGCATGAATGAATATTTACCTTGAATTCTAGTCCCCTACCACCCTCCCACTCGCTCTAAACACCCAATTTCGAGTTTATACGTGACAGGGCTCGTGCCAGACAATGCCGGCGCGCTCAGTGCTGCCCCCGCACGAGAACTCAGGCCAGAACGGGGTCAATCAGCAGCGCTCTCGTGTACAAGGTGGAAGACTCGCATTCTTTGTAAGACCTCACCTCAGGTGTCTTTATCTCCGCCCCTTCGAACAACGACGTGAGCAGCGCGAGTACAAGGTGAATTTACCCAGTACTTGTTTTGTTTAGGGAAGGAGAACTTACCTCTGGTCGTAGATATTGTGCCGGCCCAATCAAAGGGAATGCCGAGAGGCGAACTAGCTGGGTATCCCTAGTAGGCCAATGTGACAGGTCACGTTACCGCTTGACGGAAGTTGCCGCCGTAGCGATCGCCGTAGTTTCTGAATCAGAGATTTTCTGGATAAATTTAATGTGCAGATTCCAGAATATGCGGGTAGGTTGGTAGTATGACATTAGCTTATACTCTTTTGTGGATCGTGATGAGATTAGTGGAAGGAAGGAAGGAAGGAGTGCCAGGGCGTTCATCGGCATCCTGTCCCCGTTATGGAGCCCAAGTGGTCGAACGAATCAGATAAGACTCGGACGAAGCACTTCGTACTGCCCAATACCGTTGAGCCAGCTGAAACTTGCATAGGCCTGGAGAGGAAGCCAGCCGAGGTGGTGGTGAAGAGCCGGGACTGTACGTCCAGTGGCCAGTGGGTGACCGCATGCGCACACCTCCCGGTCCCCGGATCCCGGATGGAGATTCAGAGTCCCATGGCAGCAGAAGGAGACGGTCGTGCGATCGGGCTGATGCAGAAGTACCGCGACTTTTCGGAATTAGAATCGTCAGGGATGGAGCTCTGGAAATGAAATAGGAGGAGGAGGAGGGTCAAGACTCAACGTCAACAGCGGGTAGGTCAAATGAGTGCTGTTTGGGTTGTTTGATCAGATCGTACGTAGAGCGAGAGTTCGCGTGTGCAGAGCCACTGGCTGACTTGATAATAATTATGTGATAGATGCAGCGGGGTATGGTATTCGGGTCCCAACCGCGAATCAGAATTGGACCTCCGTGGTTCACGAATCGCGGCAGTAGGACAAATTCTAAATACCCCCAGAGACTTTGGGGACACCATGCGCGAGACCGCCTTCACACGCAGAGGGAGACCACGGATACCTCTCGGACCAGCGTTCGCTGGGTAGCATGCCAAAATCGGTGCTCGCCTACCCCAAGGACGTACGAGCGGTGGTAAGTACGGACCTGGAGAATTCCCTGGGCGTGGGATTGGCGGTCGACAGGCTTGGAGTTGCAAGAAACGTGAGTACCGAGTGTGGGAATCGACGAAACGGAGTTGAGGAGAAGGAAAGGGAGGGGGCAATACTCGTCTTCGGAATAGAGGAGCGGGGAATCAGAATTGGAATTGGGATTGGGATAGACGGCTGGTTGATACTAATAGCGCAATAGACGGATTCTTGGGGCGTACGAGGAGTTCGTGTTAGGCCAGACGAGGTCAACCGCCGAATCCGTTCGAGAGAAGATAGCGACGGTACGAACAGCTAACGGGTGCCTTCCATCATGCCGCGCAGACTTCCTCCTGGGTCCACCTATCGCGCTCGTCTGAGCTCTGGACGGTTACGCAACCGCGCTACGTAGTCACGAGTGCGTATGTGTGTGATAGGGCGTAGAGCAACGATGGAGGGGCCCAGGAGGGAGCAGTGGCTTTCGCATGAAAAAGGAAAAGGCGGGAAGTTACGGTGGGCTGGAGAGCGGGACAGAAAGGGTAGCCCGTCAGGAAGCTCCGAAATGACGCTGTTTATATACTTAAGTAGCAGGCTCGGGCCAAGGCCCTTGGCCGGCCCAAGTCCTTCATCCCGTCGCGCACGCGCGCAACCCTGGGCAACGGCGCGTCCAATAGATCTTATCTGCCCTCCTCTCTCCTCCCTCGACCATCACCTGTTGGTTCGACCCACCGCCACCTCCGTCCCCCGACACACGATGAACGGCGCCCAAGACCCGCGAGCGAAGAGAAGCACATGCTCCCTTCTCACCTGACCCGAGGCTCTTGTTTGTCGCTGTGTAATGCCGCCGCCTTAGACCCACTGTTCGAAAACATGCGAACACCCCATCATCAGCACCGTCCACGTCTCTGCTCGACTGTGACTCCCGCTCATCCCGTCCTCCGCTGTTGACTCACCCCAGTCCAGCACCAGCCAGCACCCCACGCTCGTTCACCCAACTATCCCTACTGTCTTTTCTCCCGGCTTCGCGCCAGCTAACCTCACACATACCCCGAAACAATGCCCCTGCCCCTCAAGTTCTCCCAGCTCACCATCCTCACCCTCGCCCTCTTCGTCAGCAGCCTCAGCGGTCGCGCCTCCGCCCAGGCGACCGGCATCGCCGACCTCCCCGACTGTGCCGCGGACTGTGTCAGGACGTCCGCTACGGCTGCGAATTGTGCCTTGTGCGTCCCTCTCCCCTCTTTCATCCCTTTTGCGATTCGTGCAGCGCTGACATTGTCCGAATGTGAATGCGAATATGCGACTTATAGGACCGACGTGCCCTGCCTGTGCTCGACAGGCTTCTCGCCCGCCGTACAGCAGTGCGCTATCCCCGTGTGCGGCTTTGGCGATCGGAGCACGATCAGCGGGGTGTTGAGGGAGATGTGCGAGAGCCGTACGTGGTGTTCTCTTTCCTCTTCTTCCTTCCTTTCCCTTCTTCCTGTCCCCCTTCTTCCCTCTTCCCTCTTCGCGTTCTCTCCCCGCGAGCCCCCTCGACCCGTACCCATGCCCGCCTCACCCTCCTTCCCTCCTCCTACCCCCATTCCCTTTATCTTTCTCCACCTCTTCCCGGCACTAATCCCCTCTCACAGAAACCACCACCTCCCAACCGCCCACCACCTCCGCCTCCTCTCCCTCTCCCACACCCACCCCGAACCCGGGACCCGCACCCTCCGCCTCCTCAACAACCACCATAACCAGCACCACCACGCCCCCTTCCCCCGCCACCACCGGCACCGGCACTACCTCCAGCGCGGGGGGCCCGAGCCCTAGTACGACGTTAGGTATTGGAGGCGGAGTGGGAGGGGGTGTAAGTGGCAGGAGCTCGACCGCGACGAGCGCGAGTGAGGGTAGTACGACGGTGGTGGTTGCGACTGTTGTGCTGCCGCAGACGTCCGCGCTGGGCGGGGCCCTTAACTCGAATGTGCGCACGGGATGTTTGGGATGGGTGACGGTTGTAGTGGGGGCGTTGGTGGGTGGGTTGGTGCTCTAGGTTGATGACGGAAGGTGTGCGTAGATGGGGCTGTGTGGATGTGGACGCGGATCGGAATGTCCGTGTCCCTGTCCAAGACTGTACGACTCAACACTATGGCCATCACCACTCGTAAGGCCGGAATACCCTGACGGACGTCGAAGCTGTTCGGTGTTCCTCGACCTCAGCTCGCGCTCTCTCTACCCCCACCCCCCACCCCTTCAGCCGCCCACGTTCATCGTCGCCCTCACCCTCACTTGTATTCGCGCCGTCGCCGACATACCTCCACTGCACGTCCTAGTCTGCATTCTACCCACGCCCCCCCTCGTCGTCGTCGTCGTTGACATCGACATCGACCACTCAAAATCCGTACCCCATCCCTTTCGCTCTTCGCTCTTCACGCTTCGTTTTCTTCTTCCACCACCTCTTGGGCTCTCGTCGTTCATCGTTTACCTTCCCGCCTCCATCCCACCTACCTACCCGTACTAATCCCCTACCTGGATCTTTATCGTTATTTACCCGCCTTCCTACTTCTATACCCACCCAATCCACCCGACCCCCTCTCCCAATCCCACATCCTCCATCCTCACCCCCTCGCCCGACGCGCACATACCCCTCCTACGCCCTCTTCACCCGTCCGCCCCCACACAGAGAGTTCATCAATCCAGGCTGGAACTACGTCTGGAATGTTAGCGTCTGGAATGTTTGAGTCCCCACCTCATATGTGCGCCTGCTTCATTCATTCATTCTTATTGGTGTACGCGTAGAACGTCTGTATTCATGTGCTCTGCTTTGTGCTTGGACGATATATAGATGGTACGGGATACCAGGGCACGCTTCTAGGTGATATGAACGGTCATGGTCTTTGGCTGATGTATGGTTTGCTTTACCTTAGTTTCTATATCTCTGGTGGTTTTTGAAGTCTCTGGTGGTTTATGAACTGAAATCCAGATGGCGTGGTCATGACTTGTTGGAGTTCGAGTCACAGAACAAACTCGACCGGTTGACTTTCTGAATGCCCGCTTTCTAGATCTGCCCTTCTCTCTTCGAATTCCAACCACCATTTGCTCGCTTCGTCTTGATCATGCATTCTCGCCCGACTCGTCCTCCTACTCCTACGATACTACCAAGGTCGCAGTCGCAAATAACACCCTTCTCACACTGGCCAGAAACGACGAACCCACCCCCGGCGTCCGCTTGGATGTGGTGTTCTAGTAAGGAGCGCATCCTTATCGCCACCGCCATCGCCATCACCATCACCATCGCCATCGCCATCATCGTCGCCGTCGTCCTTCAACCTCACTGCCCGCGCCCAAACTGCAAACTACGTTCCCTCCAGTGCGTCTTCCCACCGTGTTCAACCATCTCCCCGCTTTATCTTGCATTCTTCCCACCTGTAGTACTCTACTCCACTTCTACTCTACCCTGTCCCGCCCCTTACCAACCAGATCCCTCCCCAACCATGCCCCGCACGCCCCGCACCCGCATGCAGTCCCTCACATCGCACGGTTCCAGGTCGGGTGGGCGCGTGCTCTAAGTTTACGCCTCTCAGTAATACCTCAATCACCGTGCTGTGCTTGAGGTGATAATCCATCGTGGTGTGCGCCGTGTCCTCCTCAGCGGATCCGTTCGCTAAAGCCTTTCGACTCCGAATGACACTGACGGCCGCCCTCAGGATAATACATACATAAGTACCTTATACTGCATACGATCTAACGTCCCTCTGGTCCTACTCTATGCGCTTGGGGAGAGGATGCTGTAGGGTATTTTTTTTTAGCTGTCAAGCTTGCCAGTGGTGGGTTCGAACTTTCAAAATTTCGCAGGTCACGCTGTTTTCCAGCCTGTACACCGCCTGTGCGAGTGGCGAAATCTATCTTCATATCCCTCTGTGTGCATTGGGATCATGCTTAAGCTATAGGTCCGACTTCGCGCGCGTCTCTTCGTTTACCTGCTCTGCCCACTGCGTCATAGTTTAGAACGAGAACGTCCAATTCAATTCTGCCTTCACAGGTAAGTAAGCAAGTAGACCGGGTCCCTTCTCGTCTCCCAACCAACTGCTTCTCTGCTGGTCCTCCGATCCCAAAGGTGCATGATACAAACCGCCTTGCAGTATTGTTATCCAATCGCCTCTTCTCTGGCCACATTCTATGCTAACGCCGTTCACCTTCCCACCCCCGCGCGCAGCTCTATCCCCATACCCGGATCTTTCTCGTTATTTATTTCCGCCTCTCCCTCCTCCCATTCTTCCATGCCCCCTCTGTCCTCCTCCGCTTTTCTCGCGTGTTGGAGTATGTACATCAGACATCTCCTTACATTTGCACTTTGTTCGCAGAACGCGTATACTCTACTTTATGCATTTGTAGGCGCTTCATTCAGGCGCGTTGTTTCGACCGGCTTCGGCCTTCCAGCCAAGTGCTTAATTGTGCGATACGAGAGACTTATCCGACGTCCGTGGCTCTCATTGTTCAAGTGCTGCCAATGGAATGGAATGGGATGAGCCAGATTTATGTAGAGTGCTGCCTCGCGTTCGTGGATTCTGTTTACATACCTTGCATTCAAGTTTAGGCTGCGTGGACAAGGGAATTCTCGCGCTGGGAGAGCGCACTTCTCGAGGTCGGCCCTCACTGGGTATTCAAATTACTTCTGGTTCGGCCGACGTGGGTGGGCCCGGTAGACTGTAGCGCTCCCGCCGGGAGTCCCGCCCAGGCTGGAATTCGAACCCCACCGACTTGAAATTTCTCTCCGCATTCTCCCTTGATTCCCACTGCATACAAGGTTGCGCGTCGACGGTTCCCCGCTATGTTGTCTTTTCACTAGATCTATGATATACTCTATAGAGTATACTCTCGAAGAGGGAGATAAGTTGGTCGATCGATGTCGTCATTGATGGGTGGACGCTGACTTGTGTGATTCAAGGTGTCGTGTGCGCCGTTCATCGTGTATCGGGAGCCGGACGGAAGTGGCGGTGGGTCGAACGAACTAGGTGACGGTCGAGGGAGGGGAGGAGAAGAGGGTAGATTAGATTGGACGCGCCGTTGTGGTTGCGTGCGTGCGCGACGGATGAGGTCGGCCAAGCCGCTTGGCCCGAGCCAGCGTCATTTTCGGAGCTTCCCGGCGCTGCTCTTCCTTTCTCTCCTCCACCTTCGTTCTGACTCTATAGGATGAGGCCAGTGAAGTTCTCGCTCCATTCCGGTGACGCTAACCTGGCTTTTCAAGCTCTCTAACTCTCTAGGTGCTGTCAATGTCCCCCGCCATCCAAACACCTGCTCCTATCTATCTGCGGAATTCCACCCCCACCTAAACTTCTTGTCCAAACCTCCCGCCTTTTCCTTTTCCATGCAAAAACCAACGCTCCTGGGTTCTCCATCGTCACTCTACGCCCTATCACGCACATACGCACTAGTGACTACGTAGCGCGTAACCGTGGAGAGCTGAGACGAGCGCGATAGATCGACCCAGGAGGAAGTCTGCGCGGCACGATGGAAGGCGTTCGTGTTCAGCACCCCGCTATCCTTGTTCGAACCACAGGCCCTGTCTTGTCCTTCCAAGAGAGACGCAATGGCGCACACATGCCACATGCCATAAGCCACGTGTTGAGCATTCTGCGAGCTTTCCGAATGTGTGTCGATTTGACCCTCAAGCTCGTCTGGTACTCATTGACGCGTTTTTGCAACTCAAAGTCTAATCGAGAGCGCATTTTACGCAAGGGGGTTCCTCTGGATATGTACCACCGCTCGTGTTTCGGGTAAAGTGCTAATTGTGGTACACTACCTGCCGAACGCTGGTCGGAGAGGGATCTCTGGTCTCCCTCTGCGTGAGAAGGAACTCTCGCGCATGATGTCCCCAAACTCCCAGGGGGAATTTCGAAATTGGTATCTGCGCGGCGTCTTCGACTCGTCCTTAGACGATGTCGTGCACAATGACTTGGGTACTCCCACGCGGTTCCTCTCGTACATCAATCAGATCCCGCCTCAGCGTCAACATTCGCCTCCTCTTCCTCCTCCTCTTCCCTCGTATGAGCCTTTGCTTTATACCCTCCTGTGGAGGCCGCTTTCTCCTCCTCGTGACATGCATCATGTTCCGCACACGCTGTTCACGGCACACGTCACCTCGACAGCTCCAGACACACCCAAACACACTCTGCTCGCATAGTGACGGTGTCAGCAGAGTATCGTTCTGTTTCGGGATACGACTCAGGCGCTGAAAACCGGCGTGTGCGGGTGTGCAGTGCGGTAGACGCAGACGGTGTCGGGGCAGGAGTACTTGACTTGAGTAGGGAAAGTAGATCCGACTGGCTCGATCGCCCCTCTTCCAGCCGCCGACAGGACATGTATCCTCGGCTCTCAAATTCGAAGCGGCTTCACAGAGGAGGCTCGAAACTATGTGGGCTACATCAGCGGGTCCATGGTACGCTTGGTTTCCCCCACGGCACACTACTATCGATCGACCCACCTGCTGGTAATCCATAGTGCGACGCCTTCTCTGTCTAGAAACGCGAAAATTTGGAGTGTGGCGTTTACGCGTCGAGAAGGTTCTTTCCCGTTCGTGTACCTCAAATCGACTTCCAACATCGCTAATCAATTGCATATTGAGACGTCCTTTCCTCATATTTCATCGTCACCCTTGCGTGCTCAGGCCTCAGGGTTCACCGTAACTTTCCCTACTCGCTATAGCCAACGCGCACACTCTATTCAACACGGGTCTACCGCAACTCCTGCCTATTGCACTTCCTCCCCTTCCTCATCCTCCTGCCCCTTACCGTCATCATCACCACCGCCTAACTCTATACCCCGTCGGCACGCCTACCTCCCAGACGAAGCTGCTCTCCGCACTCTCTGACTGCACGGGGTCCCTTGGACGCCCTATGCAACGCCGAAGAGCGTCGCCTTATAGCTGGCGGGTGGTCAGATGGTCTGGGAGAATTGACTCCAAATCGTGGTGTGACAGCAGCTCCTCTGGGTGTTTATGGCACTCAAAGGGAAATTACAACGTGATATGGGGCCCTATCGCGCCTCTCGACTCGTTCCGTGTCCGAGGCTTGTTCAGTGTGTATCGTGCTACATCGGTTTCCTTTGCGAGAAAGTATCAATTAAACGGGGCTGATTTCATCCCCTGATTGGTCTTCACAACTCAGTGCTCACTACTCAACCTTTCTCCATCGTCACGTATGATACACGAAACATAAGTGGGATTGGGAAACCCAACACTACGAAATATGAAATTTAACAATTCTGTCGTTGCAGAGGCTAGGCATGCCCTGGTTGGATCTCCGTCACAAGAATTTCAAAGTTCCGGTACTTCTGCGTCAGGCCGGTGACCGTTTCCTTCCAGGATGGTCCTCCGGGGAGATGTGCAGTCACCCACTCGTCGTCCCGGTTCTTCACCACAGCCCTTAATCTTATATCGTCAGGTCCCGCGTTCTTGTTCTTCATCCGATGCCGGAGACCCGCCGCCGCTACCACCATAGCTTCCTGGTCCATGCACGTTTGAGTTTGAGATGAGGGACGAGCAGACACTGGAGGGCTCACCACTTTGGAACCAGGTATCGTGTGGACTGCGTACTTGAAGTGCGTCTCAGAGGAGATCTTATCCCCGAGCCTGAATGTGACAACGACGGGGCGGCTCTTTGTTTGCTCAACGGTCGTAGCGGGCGGCGAGTAGTGCTTCGTTGTATCCTTTCGATAGCGAACTCGCAGTTCCTCCCCGATTCCTTGAACGACTTGGGTCCATAACGGAGGCGAGATGAACGCCCACTCCTTCTTTCCATCAATTTGAATAGCGCAATTCAAATAGATTTCTTTGGCCGTGACGTCCGGCTTCAGCAGCCAAGAGAAGTGCTCAACAGCTAGCTCTTTAGCTGCCTGGAGGCACAATATACTCATGATAAGCGCAATATTGGTTAAGTAAAGCTTCATATACCCACCATGTATGTTTCTGGGAACGGTGATACTGCATACACTGTGTGACCGCTGTCGAGCACGAACGAGAAGCAGATCGTCCGCAGCGGTGTTGGTGCTGGCGAAACTGCGGCTGGAGCACGCGTGGTCGTAGTGGAGTCCTGGGATTGAGGAATGTCGGCTCCGTCAAGTGAGAGAGATGATAATTCGTGGAGCGGTTCAGTCTCCATGGAGGCGGACGTGCAACAATGGGAGGAGGGAGGAAGCATGGATGGGCGCTTGTCGTTATCTTGGATCATTGATCGATGACGGTTTTATTCTCACGAGGTGGACCTACTGCGCGAGTCCATGTATCCACAGAGACGAAGTAAAATGGTGATATAAAATGCCCCGCTCAGTTGTAACACACGAATTGAAGGCTGGTGAGATTCCTTCCAGTCAACCCGATTATCCAAAGTGCTTATGGGTAGGCGGCCGAACCAGCCCCCGCCACTCATTCCCTCTGCGTGTATTCCAAGATCTGACTGGTTTCGGACTCCTATTCTGCAGTCCGCTCCAACTGGATCTTGAGCTTGAGCCGCAATCAAACTCCATTGCATAGGGCTGACCGCCAGAGCCCGGACGATGGCTTCTTCGTCGTGGACCGCGCATCTGGTGGTGATCGACTTGGAATCCGGATTGCGTACAGGCCGTCGAACGATGGTAAAATAGGTTATCTGCGAGCAAAATGGTTGAATATGCGAAAGAATATGGAAAGGAGTGAAGGGGAAATGGAATTCCCCTTCACATCGGAATCAGTGATCGGATTGAACGAGAGAGGGCGGTATATGGAAGGTGGAGAATTGGTAGATCGCTATTCCGTGAGTGTCGACGAAGAATAGTTTGTGTAAAATCACACCTGCTTAGGACATCTTTTGGAACCTGTCATACGAATTGGTGGTGTTGAGACAGAGATCTTATCTTATCGTTAATGCAGCTGCTCTCGGCTTTCGCCGGGTCAGCATCTCCCTTCTCTCTTCCGACCGCCATTTGCTCGCCTCGTCTCAACCTCAGGTGCTCCGGTGCAAGATAGAGGGTACCGGTAAGCCATTCTCGCCTCCTGTGACAGTAGCATGGCTGTATGGCTGAAATGAACACTCTTCTTACACTGGCCAGAGGCGACTGACTCGCCTCTCGGCTTGATGTTCTAGGGCTCGAGCTGCGAGCGTACCCTTATCATGATCTCCATCATGATTGTCGTCGTTCGTCCCTGCTGCTCAAATTCCACAGTGGCACACACTGTCGAGCTCAAGTACGGCTTCTCGTCGTACGCAACCCTCTTTCCCCCTTCATCTTCTTACTCTTTCCGCCCTCTACTTCGGCCCCACTCCTACTTCGGTCCTGTACCCCCGCACACCTCGCATGCTGTCCCTTACATCGCATGGTTCCCAGGTTGGGCGCGTGTTTTACCCGTCTCGCTACTAGACTGTTCTATGTTGAAGGTGGTAGTTCATCGAGGTGTGCGCTGCGTGGTAGTGGATCCGTTTGCTAGTGTTATCCCCTGCTTACTCCGAATCATGTTGACGGCCTTCCTCCAAAAAATACCTATGATCTACCGTCCGCCATAGCGGAATTTCATTCTCTCGTCCAATGCGTTCATGCGAATGGTCGTGCATACTTCCGGGTAGGCTTCCAGCTTCATGATAACGTTGCAGACAAAGATGCAGACCGCCCGCATGTGGAAAGTGCTCGACCACGTCGGTGAACAAATACCTCTGAGCACTAGCGTTGAGGCTCAAATTTGGCTCGCCTGCATGAATATTCGCTCGAACTCCCTTTTCTTCGTCGGCTGTGCTTCTCCTCATCTTTATGGCGCTGTCCTCCTTCGTGGCTGTCCACCGACCTTGAGCATCTCAGGTACACAGAGGATGCTCAGACTCTCCTGTGGTACATCGGCGGGTGCAGGGTAAGCGCTGCTTCACTCGCAGCGCTGACCTTCCTGCAACAACCACGTGGAAGCCGCGCCAGGAATCGAAACCTGCTTATTAGGGCGTTAGACGTGGTTTCATGGCTCAACGCTCAACGCTCAACATCCATCGCATTGTGCGTATATCGGAAGCCTCTCGACCGTGCTTTCGGTTTCGGACCCGTATGTTTGGAATCGTTCCTGCTCTTGATCGGATGACTCTCCTACATGCTAGAGGAAACGGTGCTCCAAGGTCGTCTCTCGCCCTGCGGCCCACATGGGTGCCTTCGCACCTGCTGTGCCGCAGCAGCAGGGCATTCTTTCGCACTGAGCCTGGGCTTTTGAATTGCATGCATCTTGCTATGCAGATTTCCTGGTTGGCCGGTTCTACCTGATGGGCTTTCCGCACGACCACCGTCAGGTAATTATGCTTGCGCTCACACACTGCAGTCCTTCCACATGCCACTGCGTCCTTGATAGGATCTCACCTTCTTCTGCATCAACAATGGCGCTACCTCGACGGGAACCACAGTGCCTGTGTCTGTTTGCGAGTATTAATTTTAAGGATGCATACGCTATTTTAATTCTAATCCAATCATCACTCTAAAGCCCCCATGGTCGGCCGGGTATCCAAGAATGAATATCGCGTCCTCCTTGTACGTACACACGTTGACTTTTGAACTTCCGATCTGACTCCCACAGATCCAACTCCTGCTTCTCCTGCTCGGATACGAATACACTGAAGAGGCCATGCGCACGAGGGAGAAAAGGGTCGGAGCGAGCGGCCATAAAAATTTGAGCATCCTCGAAAACACGTTGAGCCAGGCATGGTGTGAAGGAAACCCGAAAACACTCATAATCAGCACGAGTGGCTCTCCGGCGATTGCCTCGATCAGAGAGATCGATGACATGAACGATAGACGCCCAGATGCAGACACTCTCCTTCGAACGCCTACCACAGCCTCTGCAGTCTTGCTTGTCCAGAAGTGCAGTACAAGCAAAATTGCACTGCTACAGCTAAATAACTGGCTTGTTATACGCTTCAAGTCTCGACTGCCACAATTGGCTCTGAGCGAGTTGGGAAAGACACTACGGCGATGGAGAAATGCGATAAGAGCCATCCTCTTCCTCTCCGCGTTGTAACGGCTATAACCTTTTAAAAGAGAGAATTGTGTTTCAACTATTCCAGGTTGAGCCTCATGGGACCGAAAGATATCGTTCTTCTGCGCTCGTCAAGTTTAGTCCGCAATGTCAGGTAAACTCCAATTTCCTGTGGTATTTGAGTTCGAGAAGATGAGCTAATTACAACTACCTTAGGATGTGCTGAGATCGGCCCTACAGGCATTTAACGACCATAATCTCGACAAGTCTTATTTGAATAACTCTCTTGTCATAAAATGTGCCATCCCAGGCGAGGAAAGAAGGGACATCTGGGCCTCTTTCGTTCGTTCACAGTGGTCGATGTTCACACCGCGCGATAAGATCGGACTCTTCATGCCTGCTCCCACCGACATGCAAGATGGACGCGATCCAGACGGGAAGGCAACTCAAGAGAAAAAAGTTTTTATTTCTCATTTATTCTCCCACCTTTTTTCATGCAAGATGTAGAAGAATGACACGAACACTCCCAAGCTGGTGAGTATCACACACGAAGATGTCACCAGCGAGAGCACAGAAGGTGTTGTTGTTGCTCTCCCAGCGATGTACGAGGTACGAGGTCCTGTCTCTTCAGGGATTCCTTCCTCCGACACCCTATTTTGTACATAGGATCTGTTGGACGAAGCTTGGTTCCAATTTGGATGTTATAATGGCAAGAAAATCGAAGAAACGTACCTTTTGACATACATGGTCGACCCGTCGGGACGCGGCACATGGGTTAGACTTGGAACAGAATTAGCATACGAGAACATTGTTGGTGTCTGTTCAGGTGAAGTGTTACATCTCAGGGTTAAATTCATGTAAACCATTCAGTACACAGTGCCTCCTTTTTCTGAGGCTGCATTGGAAAGTGTAAATAGTCCAATCACTTGAATCTTCATACATATGTTCAGACAAAAATTCATCCGAACAGGCGACGGCGCAAATGGAATTACTTATATCATTGCATGCAGAGCGCAACCAGCTTCCTTCCCAGGCCGTCGTCCAGCCGATACATCACCGATGCGAGTTCACAGTTGAGCTACGTCCTCATCCTTTGGACGCATCTGAATTCAAGATCGATACAACGTGATTTGGCTCGTTACACGCGCTCGATGATTTCGGCTTTCGGCTACACTCGCGTATTGGGATCCTTCCAGACAAGATCATCGCCGTTATATAGATGAATCAGCACCCGCGATCGGCTTTTGTTCCAAGTACAAAACACAAGTATAGAACACCAAATATTTAATGGCCTAATTAAAGGAACCTGACAAAGAGATATAACATCTCGGTTGGATGGACGTCAAGGAGGGTATTAAAAGCGGATTTCGTCAGTACAACCCAGGAACCGCCTCCAGACGGGTCTGGCATGTAGGTAGAAAAACGCAGCACCTCCTTCGGATCGCCTTCGAACTCGTACTCTTTGCTGACCACGGCGAGAAGGTCCTACAAGAAGCCCATAAGTGTGGAGGAGGAAGGACAATAAGAGGTGTCGTATACCTCATATGTCGCTGGTAAGGCCACGAGGACACCGTGATCCCCTCCCTCCATGGTAACACTGATCAATTTGACAGTCCTGGCTGGGGCGGAGACGGCTGTCCACACACCCTGGGCGTAACGTGAATGTCGGCGCGGACTATCGACATCGACAACAAGGTGCGTAATTACTTACCTTGCTGGCATGTTTCTGCGTCTCAGGACTTCTTCGAGAAACGAAGATGCCAATGGCGTCTGACGGCGTGATCAAAGGCCACTCTTGAGACGTGATCTTGGGCCAAACGGTGCTCGGGTCACCAGGAACGACACACTTCGTGGCGATGTGCCTCTCCCACTGCCCTCCTCTCAAGTCAAGATTGTGCTTGTCCAAAGAAAGGCGAGCGGAATGTATAATTAGCTTGTTCGTTGTCATTTCGTTGTCGCTTTGTCTGATGAATGATGATGATGCACCTCGTAGTTCGATTGGTAGGGCACCAGAGTAGATGCAGCATGCGTTTCGACTCCATGTTGGTCGACAAAAAACAATTTGAATAGTATTCTCTCTGGGCGGGTGTAGTTCATTTCAGTAGGTCAGGTTATTTTCCACGAAGCGGCTGCTCACCGTGCGCTTTCGTGCCTGCGATATCTTCTTGTTCAACCCTGGGGTAGATACCACCGAATACGACGGAAGACATTAGGAGTTTGAAGGCGTGCGTCTGGAGTAGTCGTCGAGATGGTCGTTCGAAGGAGAGCCTGACGTTTGGGCGCCTATCTTGTTATCTCATACAGTGTCCGTGGCAATCTCCGAACTCCGGCTGCCGAGATTAGATATACGAACACTCGAGCAGTCCATCGGAATAGTCTCGATACTCTTGTATTACTCCACATTTCCCCAAAATTGATTCGCTTGTCGTTCCATTTATATTCTGGTCTTATGCAAATCAACCGCTATTGAATAACAATAAAATGTAGCTATCAAAATTTTAGGACATTATGCCTGCAAATTGACGGCAAATGCATGAAGGCAAGGCACGGGAATTTTCTATCTGCGGAATTCACGTCATATTTCTGTCAAATTCATCCGAGTTCTCAGTGAATTTGCTGTGTATGCGTGGCGCGGCATTGGGACGTAATAGAGCACTGGCCTGTGCGTGTGAAAGATCTGTCGTTGCATCGGTATAATAATAGAGCAGGGCCTTGGTTTATTTCCCCACTTTTCCCCACCCACTAAGGCCGCCCGGTCACTCCTCCCGCAGACCAAGCCACGAGCCAGGTAACTATCCTGGCTCTGAGACTGCCGCTCTCTGCGCCGATATGCTACTGACATGTTCCCTTGCAGGCGTTTCAAATCTTTACGACGCTCTTGGGTGCGTATGTTGGACTTCGTTTCTCGCAACACGATTAGCGCCTCCTATGTTACTACTTCTTCAAGTCATTAATATTTCTCTCAGCCAATATGTCCCTCTGCGCCCACTGCAACGCACCCTCCAGCACGCGATGCTCCCTGTGCCAATCGGTCTACTACTGCTCGCCTGAGCACATCCGTGCTGTACGTGTGCTATTTACGCTGTCATTATCATGACTTCTGACTTCATGGCCATCAGGACTGGCCTTCACACAAGCTCGACTGCTACGTGAAGCCTCCTAAAGACGCCTTGTCACTCTCCGACTGTGTGCGGAAAAAGGTGACAGGCATCCTCTTCGCAGAGGACGCAGACGAGCCTCGCCTGATCCAACTGAATGTCCTCATTGGCTACACCCGGACCGGGCAAACCTGGCAGACGCTAAACCTGCGGCCCTACCTGCCCGACGACGAAAAGCGAGGGCGAGCCAGAGTACGTTTAGATGGGCCCATGGTACCGGGGGAAGGAGGCATCAAACTTGGCCTCATGTCGGATGTATTTTACCGGAGGAACTTCACCAGCGACGGCTCACAGCGCAATCGCTGTATCGAACGATCAACGAAAGGCAAGATGGCACATCCGTGGTCCGGGCCGTTTATTATGCTTAGGCGGACGCACTTGGACACATCCTACGACGTTGTCATGGAGCAAGACTTGCCTATGCTAATGAAGTTCTTCACGACGGGACAAATGAGTGGTTTCTCGTGAAGGATTCACTAGGTCGTACTTCGAGTATCAGTTAACCAAATTTATGTCGATGCGCCTGAAATAAGCTACAATTACCGCCACACTCCAAAACGTCGCAAGACCTAGTGCAGCAGGATGAAGTATGGATGGATACCCAATAGAATGCATGTTCTACGATACCTGTTGCCTGTTGTACCCCTTATCAATCTTAGGGCTTGGACTTAGGAACGATAAAGGATACCTTGAGATGAAGCAGTTTTGCCGTGCGAGACACCGCGATCGCATTGCATGTACGCTGTCTCTTGTAGCTTTGCCCAGAAACAGTCACCAGAATAATCACGTTCATTCTTCTCGGACTTCTGGACAAAGGCACCAAGCTCGTCAGACAGCGTGATGACCCATTTCCAGTCGCTCTCTAGCCATTGGGAGAGCTCCACCTAGATCGAGCAGCGGCGGCCGATGTGCTCTGGTATAAGAGATTCTCGCTGACAACAATCCGGTAGGCCTTGCACTCGTAGAATGGGATGAAGCCACAGGCCTGGTATGTGTGGACTCTGTTCTCTACAAAGAATAACGTAACCAGGATCCTCTCTTGATCAGCTGGTGTCAGTACGAGAGTAACATCTCCGCTAGCTGCTTGTGTGGTCCCGTCTCAGAAAGGGTGGCTAGACTTGGTAGCTAAAGAGACCATCACCTTACGTCCGGATTCGTGTTGCACAAATGTGCCATTCTGGGAGTGCCAACCTGGAATGAAGTGAAGTCCTGATGGTCGTGGTATTTATCAAACGGAGCGGGCGCTTATCTCGGCCTTTTATCTCTGGGCAGTGGGAATCGCCGAGGGAATTTGATGTCGGCATCGTCGGCATTTCCTCGAACTTCCCCCGCGTCGCTCACTGGCTCCTAGCCTAGGATATGTTGAAATGATGTCACACTGAATAAAATTCTTAGTCCTCCCGTTCCTCATCCTTTCACATTATCATTTTCCTGGGAGCGCTGACTCGCTTTTTTCTTCATGGAGCTCTGTCATTTGCATTTTCTTCTCGAGTTCATCACGGGCGGTTCAAGAAACAGACGAGGTAATAACTTGCATTGCAGGGCCAAGTACACGAAAGATAAACGGTAAACCCCGTCGCCACCTCTACCTCTTTGAGCTGTAAAACCTCCGTTCCGAGGGCAATACCGCCAGCGCAACCATCAAGGAACTATAAATGCCGCATACGACTAAGGACAAGGCTCGAGTCCGAGGGGATGCTCGTTTTTAACGCTCCGCGATTCATCCATCTCCGAAATATTTCTTCGGAACGAATGGTAGAGTGCATCCTCAGTGTTGCCTTTAAGCCTTTGATTGGCCCACACCTCCAGAGTCCAGGGTGTTTGCACGGCTCCATCTTAAATATTCTGGATGATCCTAAGCATACATACGAACAAGGATAATCGAATACACTCCAAGGTTAGAGCTAACTATAAATACAACAACAACGAACCCGCCGTGCGCAGAGGGAATAGGTAAAACATATTTACTTACGATATAAGATACAAAGGAGGGAAGAGATGAGGATCGTCTAGTGGGGATCGTTAATGAGCGTAATTCGTCATGATCAGATACAAGAAAGAGTGGATCGTTAAAATATTGAAAGGGAGGAAATCTATGGAGATATGGCGGTGTTGAAGAGGGTCACACATTCGTTCGAGTGCGGTAGGTGGAAGAAAACAGAGGCTTTCGGTGGAGAGGGCAGTAGGAACGAGGTCGAGCGTGGTGTGTTGAACCGACGCGTAGTTGCAAGGCGGTCCGGGGCATCCACCCGTCGACAAGCGTCGGACATCCCTGTGGCAAGAAACACGAGGTCGCCCGACACCGCTCGCACGTTCTCAACCTCCTTCCGAAATATCCACGATCCTCCCACCCTAAACGAACACCCATCCCACCGCGAACGCAAGAACCACAAGGCCCAAACTTCCACTCAGCGTTTCTCGCCTTCCAAACGCCGCCGAGATGGGATCCGCCGTCTGCGTCGCCCCCGGCAGCAGAACCGTCTGGACGACGACCGTCGTGCTGCTCGGTGCTAGACGGGGTGGCGTCCCCGAGGTTGTAGCGGACGGCGCAGTGATGGCGAGCGGAGGGGTTGAGGTGACGGAGACGGTACCTAAGGTTGAGATTGTAGTAGTGGTAGCGCCCAGGGTAGTTGGTGTGGACGCTGGAGGGGGTAAGGGTGGATTTGTGCCTTGTGAAGTGGTAGGGACCGCGCTAGGGAAGGAGCGGCTTGTCTGGGAGGTTTGGGAGGACGAGGACGAGGGCAATGCGGGAGGTTGGGACGGGACTGAGGGGAACAAATATCAGCGTAGGAACGGAAAAGCGAGCTGAGATGGACGTACCTTGTGCACAGAGGTCCCCTAGTACGCCGCTAACTGTACTCTGATCTTCTACAGGGCAGAGCGGACGTGAACATTGGATGACAGCGAGCGAGAACCCGCTGCGACTGCATAGACACGCTGTGTCGGTTCTACAACGCAGCATGAGCACGCCTCCACACACCCAACACCAGCTAGCAAAAGGAAACGTACAGGGCACAGCCAGCAGCCGTCGAGGCCGTCGTCGCACACGGCAGCGCACACCCCGGAAGGTCCCCAATCCCCACCGTCATAGGTAACGTCGAGTTTAGCTGCCCAAACACCCGCCCAAATCCATCGAGGGCGAGCACCCACGAGACGAGTCCGAGTCCGAGAGATCGCGAGGTGTATGCGTACATTGCTGCTGGAGCTCAGAAAGCTGGGAACCCTGGATCGCCGGCGGTCAGGGTATATGTAGGGAAAGACAGGTAGCAGGACGGGGAACGAGTGAGAAAAGGGAAGTTGAGGTGGGGTTGGCAGTTGAGTCTAAAAGGCTGCAGGTGACCCGCTGAACTGTTCTGCTGACGGCACGGTCGAACACGCCGAAAAGGCGTTGTGAGAGTTGACGTTGACTATGGACGCGCGGCTTCTTTTCTCGCGGTTTATGAAGGCCATGATGTTGTTGCTGGGAAAATGAGATGGGAACGAATATAATTTATAAAGGACGTCGACGTTCGAGACTCGGAAACCGTTCGTTTTGATTCAGCGGATGTTTGGGTGTTGGTCGTTGAGGTGGAAGTAAGGCGGTCGGCAGACTCCGATGTTGATGCTGCCAGGCGCACAGATCGCGATAAGATAAGATCATCATACATATAAATAGGTCTTCCCTCCCGGCGCAGTTTCTTCCTCAGGACTCCCTGCTGCCTGCAAGCCTAGTGGTCTAGCCCGTCCTCCTCTTCTCCCTGCTTCCCCTATTTTGTACATCGTCTGTCCTTCGAGGCTGGCGACGACGCTCTCACCTGGACCCTGGATTCTCCCCGGAACCTAAACCCTCTTACTGACATATCTTTTCTACTGATGATATATCTACCTTGTCTCTGCCGCTCCCTGCTATCCTCCGACGGCTCCGTGTTCCAGAATTGTGAGACCCTGGACCGTACATTCACGATCTTGTGAGCCATGCCTGTTCGAATTATCACTCGACATTGGGAGGCGGCCGCAAAGATCTTCTGTCGTGCGTAACCGGTCTCACCTTCTGGGAAAATCTGTCCGGAGCGCCCCTTGAAACTCAACACGCTGCTGTCTGGCTTTCTGGCACATTCTTTATGCTCTCGGTTGTTGTTAGGCTAGTGAGCGTCGATTCTCGGGATCGAGGCGATGGTTTTCTTCGACGAATGAGATTCCCAGCTGCAACCTCGCTTACTTACGCAATCTGCAACAAATCTCATGCCAGTTATCGAATACGCCATCGCCTTGTGCTTCACTCGATCCTCTACACTCGCACTGCTCCCTCCCCAAGTCCAACCTACCACAGGATTTTTTATTGCAGCTACTCGCTCCTTCTTGCCTTAAACATTGTTTGTCCTCATACGGGATCGAAGCCAGCATATTCACAGTTGTTGCTTGTCTCCCCGACTCCTCATATTATTTGCAACAAGCGCGAAGGGACTAATTCCGTCTGCCGATTGTGACCGTATACTTCAGGTGCATTACCTCCTTCTGGGGAGAGCTTTACACTACTCAGCAGATACCCACACGTCGCGACGCCAATATTTTTTGCGACCTGCTCATTCGCTAATTCCGATCGTCGAGACAGAAGCCGATAGCGCATTGTTGCGGCCTCGGTGGTATTGTCATGCCGAGGACCTGGTCGGAAGAATTGGGTGGATGAGTTCCATCGATCGAGCACGCCTGTACTTCCGAACCTATCTGAGTCTGAACGGACTTGCTTACAGACGAGGAATAACAGGAGGGAGGTTTCTAAGCAGGTGCTTATTTGGATACATGATAGATGAACGGTATTTTTTCTTTCCTAGTGACTACGGTACAAATTCCAAACTATAGACCGGCGCCAAAGGAGAGGTTAGAAATACGGTAGTACACAACGCCATGTACGATCTTCAGGTATTCAGCTCAAGCACAAGTATCTCAAGGTTTTGGTACTTCCTCGTAAGCTCTATCACGGTGTCCTTCCAGCCCTGTCCGATTGGGAGCACGGCTGCGACCCACTCGTCCTCTTGGTTTTTGACCACCGCGCGGAGGGTGATATCTGCCACTGTGGCATCTTTCTTCTTCATGAAGCGCCAGAGTCCGCGCAGTGCGACCTCTTTTGCTTCCTACGAGACATGAGGAAGGGATATCAGTAAGATTCACCAGGTCTCAACTTAAAACGCTATCCACTCACCGCGTACGTCTCTGGCAATGTGTAAACTGCGTACCTGCTGCCCGCCCCACGCGGCGGTGTCCTAGCGGTATCTCCGAGCCTGAAAATAACGACACACCCAGCTTGCCCCTTCTTTGCCTCCTCGTCTTTGTCCACCTGCCGTCCATCCTTATGGTAGATCCTCAGCTCCTCCCAGTTCCCACTAACAACTTGGGTATAGAGCCGTGGCGGAAGGTACGCCCAGTCTGTCCGGGCCTTGTGCTTGATCCCGTATTTGAGGTATATGTCGGATGCGAGCACGCCCGGGACGTTGAGGTACTTCCGAAGAAGCTCGAGGGCGAGCTCTTTCGCTTTCTGTTAGAGTGAGTGGAGGGTGCAGAGACCATCATAGATCAACGGCAAGTCAGATCAGTGTGTTCGAATCCGAACTGGCGAATGCAATGACTTGGAAAACGAGTACGCACCTGATACGTATCAGGAAGTGAAGTGAAGAGCCACGGCATACTGTAGATGATTCTTGTTATCCAAGATACAGAAAACAACTTTGCGTGAGCGCGGCGGCACGGTCGTTTCTGCAGCGTCAGCTGGCGTCCCACTGTCCCCAGCCTGCTCGTCCGGCTCTTGTAGCCCATCCTGATCGAGTTCGCTGGCTTCGCCTTCGCTTTTCGGATGTTCTTCAACGTCGTTGGGTCCGCTCATGGTATGATGTACGTGGCGGAGGAGAAAGATGGTGTCGCTTGGGCGCCTATCGTGTTTTTGAAGATCGATCACGGATCACCAATTTAATCTTATCTTACATTCCTGGTCCGTGCGCACTGATCATCCCGGACCGGCCCGCCATTCGCCCAGCTGTCAGTTCGAATCTATTCTTCATCCAGACGCCACCATGGGCACTAGAGCCCGTGGAAGAAGTTCTGTCCATGGTCACCTGCAGCTTCAAGTACGACGCTGCGCAGCGTTCTAGCTTCCCTCTTGCTTCTATTTTGTTCTAAATTCTCGAGCTTTCCGGGTTGCGACCTCGCCCGATCTCGCAAACATCGTTGAACGACATCCAAACTCCTAGATGATGCGTAGCCCAGTATCGACGGCTCTTTTTCTGCTCGCAGCTCGACATCTTGTGCGAGTGGTAGCGCAAACGACGCCAGGCACCAAGGATCTGCCATCGTGCTCGCGGACGTGCACACAAACCGCCGCAACGGCCGCAGGATGCTCGCTGTATGTCCTTACTTCCTCTGTACGACTATGTTCTTTGATTTATGGTGGCGTAGGACGGATACACCTTGCCTGTGCAACAACCACGGCTTTTCATTCGCCGTCATCCAATGTTCGAGCTCGTTCTGCTCTTCGAGTGACCAAACTAGAGTTGGAAATGTTCTCGGGGATCTATGTGCTCTGTGTACGTCCATCTCGTCATCTCAACCCTCGGATGCTCAGATCTTAATATCCGTCTAGTTCCGTCAACGTCCCCTTTTTCGATCCCTTCCACCACCACCACCACCACCACCTCCACGCCCTCGGGATCCCAATCATCGGTGTTCACAATCCAAACCTCCTTGCCACCCTATCCTTCACCCTCACCCTCACCCTCTTCTATCTCAAGCAGCACTTCTTCCAGCTTCGTTATCACTGCACCGACGCTGGGAACAACGACTAGCACTACCCAGGCGAGTAGTCCGTCAACTGGGACGACAGTGATGCAGACTGTTATTTTGCCGCAGACGTCGATTCCATTACCGGCTACGACCACGTCGGCCGCTGCAAAAGGAGTGAAGTTGGAGGTCCGCCGGGGGGTGCTGGTGATGGGCGTACTTGGGGTGCTCCTTTTGTAAGCACCGAAATACAGGACACAGACGACATTCCGGGCCCCAACTCTGCAGAGGCCGACCTATGCTATCGACTATATTCTATTCTAAGATCTTCCTCGCTTATATGCACTCGTAAAATATCCTCTCAACCTCAGCGCCCGGCGAACACACGCAACGCCGTCTTACGTTCAACACGCCTTGGCTTCTGGCATCGATATTCCTATACGATCGCTCCACCCAGTTTTGTCGCTCCCACCATAAGGAATCTCATCTCATCTATCAATCATCTGCGTCAACGTCCTCGTCACCCGACGCGATGGTTCATGTCTTCACCCTCACCGTTTTCTCGTCGGATGGTCCCCCCTGAAGTTTGCTTCGAAATGTGGCAGGTCCTAGAAATCTTTTTTATGGCATATGTCCTATCCTCGATGCCGCAGCCAACGGTTTGGACTAGTTTCAAAACTATATTCGTGCCTACGATACACGTTGAATCTTTTTCTCTTTCTTTCTTCGCGTCCATGTGCTCCTTCCTTCACCGCTCGTCCAATTCCTAAACTATTAAGTTTTATGATGCGGCGACGACGTACACTATGGGTGTTTACAAAGCCTTCTAGATGCCCAAGTTGGATACTGAATGAAGTGAGTGAGCACCCTCTTTCTTGCGATCTACGACAGACATGCTGATCTATCGAGGTCCATTACAGACCCCCCGAAATTTCGTCGTGATGTGTGAGGCCAAAGTTCGTAGCCTAGAAGTGTGAGCGTGGTGCTAGGATTGGTGCCCAGGAAGCATTTGTCCGGCTAGGCAAAGTTCACAATCCAGAATTCAAGACATAGAAGACGCACTGAAGCCGTAATTATGACTTCTAGTGGCATCGTTTTACATGTCTCAGTGTTCAAGTGTGAGCGGTTCGAACAATTAAACAGCCTAAATGTTCTAAGGAAAGCCGTTATCGCTCCTTCTCTCCAAAATTTGCAGCATTCACCCGCTACTGCGCAGGGGCGAACTGTCGCGCACAACAGCCACCAGACTGCGGATCCTTGGTTCAGGCAATCGATCACGCCTCTTCCGTGCCTTTCATCCTTCCGCGCCTCGCCATCGATCAAGCCAATAGGATCTCGAAGAATTGAAATCAACGTCATCGACCATTTGTTGCTAACCGAAATGCGACTTTGCGTTGCTGTTCAACATTGCACGAGCGCCCCCGTGGTGTCGGGATCATCGTGGTGCGCAGCGCCCGCGCGCCAAGACTTTCTATTTTCACTCTAGTTTTCGGTCTCCTTTCACCAGATCAGTGCGACAGCTCGTCCTGCTGAAGGGTTGGCCTCTGCTCAATTTTAACTTTCACGGTCGGGCCTACAGTGGTATAAAAGGCGGATACTTTCATACCCCACACCATATCACGTCCATTGCTTTCCCGTTTCTTTTTCACCTTGTTTCCTTCCCGAACTAATCATGCGCACCTTCGCCCTCCTTCAACTGACCCTTCTTTCTGTTCTTGTATCTGGTAAGTTCATCACACGTGTTCTCCTTTCCTCGCTCATCTCGAATCCTGTCAGCACATCCCGGTGAGGAGCATGAACACGTCGACGAAGTTGAGCTCGTAGCCAGAGCGGTCCGTTCGATTTTTCTCCCTGTCGTATCAGCATTCTGAAGCCTTCCCATTAGAATGCCATGCACGCTCGCAGCCTGAAAGCCCGCAACTGCGCGAGTGCCATAGCCGAGTTCGAGCTTAAGCGCCGCGACGCTCGACTGCCATTCGCGAAGAGACAGACTACAGCCACGTCGTCAGCAGCCACCCCTCAGTATACGACCATCCAGAACGTATGTCGTCAAGCTTCCAGCTCCTCTACCTGTCTTAACTCGTATTTTCAGACGACTTGCGTTACCGCTTCAGAAGTCACGGAAGGACCTTACTACATCAACAACGAATTTATCAGGACTGACCTTCGCGAAACGCAGACGTAAGTCCTTATTCTAATGTAATCCCTCCTCGTCCCTTTACTGACGGTTTTCCAGTGGCGTTAAGCTCATTCTCGACATTGGTGTCATTGACACTACAACATGCGAGCCTTTCGCCGACGCTTTCGTCGAACTCTGGCATGGTAAGCACCTTTCGTCCCTCTATCGATATATACCGACTGAATATCCCTCAAGCTAATTCTACTGGTGCCTATGGTGGTTACGTTGGAGCCCAAGGCGCCGCCACAAATATCAACATCGATACTTTCCTGCGCGGCGGCTACTTCACCAACTCCGAAGGCATCGTCGAGATCACCACCCTCTATCCGGGATACTACACCGGCCGTACCGCCCACATCCACACCATGGTGCACAAGAACATCGAGCAAAATGCTAACGGGTGAGCATCCTCTCATTTATTGCTTATCCGTTCGCCGGTTTTCTAACACTCGACATTATTAGCACCGTCATTTCAAAGTCTGGCACTTTGACCCACATCGGCCAATTCTTCTTCGACGAAACCTGGAACGACGAGGTCTTCAGCCAATCGCCGTACACGACTACCTCCCAGCAGCGGATGACGAACGACGAGGACGGCATCCTCGCTTCTGCCGGAGGCGTTGGTTTCATCAACCTTTCACTTCTTGGAACGACAATCTCGGACGGTGTCCTTGGGTATATCAGTAAGTCGGAATTTTTGGTCCAAATACTTCTTTTCTCTAACACGTTTTCCGTTCAGCCGTCGCCGTTGACTCCAGCCAATCATACAGCATCAACAACGAGAACACTCTCCAGGGCACTCTCACTGGCTCTTCCACTGCCGCCGGCTCAACTTCGAGGGCATCAACCGCAAGCGCAGCAACGACATCAAGGACCTCGTCGAGCTCCTCCACGGCTTCTGCAGCTGACTCAGCGATAACAAGTTCTTCTGCAGCACTTGGTGTGAAGTCGGATATGGGCCTTGGTGCCTTCGCTGGCTCTTTGATGACGATACTCTTTGCTATGCTATAATCGGTTGGTGTATTAGTAGAACTTGGACGCAAATTTTGAATGGACTCTTATTGTTTATCCCGTTTCCTCTCGTCCCTTAGTTAGAAAGAAAAGGGCACGTGCAATCGTCCAACTCGAGTAAATGCTGAATAAGTTGGCTGTGGAAAGAAACCTCTCCTAAGAAAAAAGAGACTTTAGCCGGTAATAGTTTAAACCATCGAGATACGTACATAGCTGACAAACTCTCAAGTTTGTTGTGAATTAAATAGACCAGTGGACTTCCGCGGTGATATACAGCGACATCCAAAGGACTCGGGTCCAGCACATACCCTACATCTACTCGGGACCCCAGTGTTCAGAAATGGACCCTACCAGGTTAAACCTCACTTCACTCCAACGCGAACAGATGTCGGAGATCATTAGGCCGTGACGACAACAATTCAAAACTTCTTTTAGATGGAGTAAGATGCCTCGTACAAACGAGAAGTTTTTTGTCTACTGGGCTTTCTTGAACTCTTGATATAACGCGTCCGGTGCGGTCCCACGAGCACCCAAAGGGTTTCGCCTTTCTTTCTTGAAATGGTTGGACATAAGGAAAGCGATATCTATATTCATCAGGAAGGACAGGTGTCAGCTTATTCGCCGAGGATGCAACATGCCATGGCGGCACTGAGAAGACGAGAACGGAGTCCGAGGCACGAGGCCTAAATGGCAAGAAACGTAAAATAGATCCCATGGATCTCCTTGGGATACTTCAAATCCGTCACACCGCCTAGGGTGAAAGCACAGAAAGAGATACGAATGGAGGCAGAAAAATAGAAAGCGCTGGACGAAATTAGAGAGGAGACTTACCAAGACTCTGTTCAAAGTTCAATCTTGGATCACAGAATGACTAAGACCCAGGATTAGATGGGCGTTTCAGACTGAAAAAAAAATAGTCAAATACATACCTGGTATCGCAGTCCTAGCTCCTCCTCGGTAAGCTCCATACTACCGCCGAGACATTCTGTAACGCTGAAGCCTTCGTCGTTGAGTTCTCCCGTAAACTCGAGGCTGACACCGCCGAGGCGCGAACCGCACTCGGTGTGAATGCGCAGCGAGGACGTCAGCTCGGAAATGATGTTGTTGAAGTGCCGTGTCTTGAGCCCCGAAGACGAGGTCTGAGTGCTAATTCAAGAACGATGTCAGTCCGGTGGCCTGTAAACATCTAACCATAACGAAAGGAACGGCGTATTTATAGCAGGCCGCCCAAGCTTGAAATAGAAATAGCACATTGGGTTCTTTGTGGATGGGAGTAGAGCGATGATGGATCCCCTGAAAGTCCTCCACACTCCTCCACATGATTGCTTCTCCATGGGCACAGGCTCTGCGCCGACGAGATGGCTCCACAGTTCAGATTTACGTGCCCGGGATACCCGACGCACGGACAATGGTAATGCTTCCAAAGGCGGAAGAGGATCACCCATGAGGGGCCCACCGACGTGGGGCAGCTGCGAGGATAGAGTCGCCTGCCAATAGATCCCTGAACGAACGACGACGATCTGCAGCCTCCATCCAAATGACGTACGATAGAGAATGTAGAGCGAATCTCTACGTCGTGTAGGTGAATCGGTACTCACTTTCCATGCATAGGATCGCATATCCAAGCCACTGGGTGGCCTGATGCCTGCACGGTTCGTATATGTCCAGGAAGATGCTCGTCAATCTGGCGCCAAAACACAAGTGGTGAGCTAAATTCATTCATGACACAAAAGGAGCCAAAGTAATCATCAAGTAGGAGAAAAGACGTGGATAACACGACAAACAGTTTCAGCATTTCCATGCGGTAACACGATGGTAATGCTGCTAAATCTTAGTTCTACTGTTCACAGAGACACCGGGGAAGAATTCCAACATAAACAAAAATAAAAGGGAACAAATGACAGCAAAGACCACAAAGTTCCTCCGAAGCCCATCGGATCCGCAAGGAGAACAGTGCAAGAGGAGAGGAGATAAGGAGCGAACGAGCACTCGAAACAGGAAGTTCGCCCAAAAGAATGGCGAGATAGAAGATGTTGTGGGGCGATGCAATGATTTTCGGGGTTGTAGTAGAAATAGTGGGGGGCGAAAGGCCGCCCAGGCGTTATTAATGCATAGCGGCCCCGACACGCCCGAGCGGCGAGTTGAGCTAATAGATAGGGCCAGACAGCTTCATTCGTCTCAAGAGAAGAGGAGAACACGACCACGAGGCTGCAGATGACGCAAAAGCAACAAAAAAAACAAAAAAAAACAAAAAGAGAGAGAGAGAGAGAGAAGGCTAATGCGTACCTTCTTCGCTCCGTATCTGGTGATGAGTGTCACTCTTCCAGGTTCTTTGTCGGGGTTGACCACTAAAAAAAAAGAACAGATATCGCATAGTCAGAATTTAGCCAGGATATAGAAGAGAGAGCGAGAGGTCTTTCACGACGGACACACAAGATCTATCCACGTCCAGCAGCCCTCTCGAAGGGATCCACAACGACTACGACCACAGCAAAATCGACAATCGTTCGACTTTGCGTACCAGCATTCAGACCACCTGGCCTCCGAGCTCGAAGTGCGATCGATCATCCATCACCGTCATCGATTCATCTCAGTCCTCGTAAAGCAATCAAGGATCCCGCGAGTCGTTCGACCACGCGAAGCCCACGAGACCTCCTACTCCTGTTCCTGCATCCTCCGAACTTCGAGCTTCGAGCTTCGGTGGGGCGATCGTACGTCCCGAACGCCGAATTTCCAGATGGATTGGGAGATGGAGTGTGACGCCACAGCACCCATCAGCATCATGAACGTCGAAATCATCGACATCAACACTCGAGGGAAGAACGGAAAGAAAGAAGAGAGGCGCCATTGACGTCGACGTCAAGGGATCATCGCCACCGCGCGTCGGAAAGACGTAGACAGAGGGGTGAAGTACATCGAGCCAAACGAGCAGAATACGCCACTTCTTGGCACTGGCGCCGCCCCCTCTTCTAACCAGAATCTCGAAGCCGCGAATCGACACACCCATCCATACGTCCATCAACGCAGGGAAAAAGCCACCGTCGACAATGCGTCTCGTACGACCGCGCTTCAACTCGAAGTACTCACCGTCCAACACCCTCACAAGCTCCTCGACGCCCATGCTCGGGCCGACCTTGATCCCAATCGGGTTCCGGATCCCGCGGAAGTACTCCACGTGCGCGCCGTTAAGCTGCCGTGTACGGTCGCCGATCCAGAGAAAGTGCGCGCCGGTGTTATAGTACGCTTTTGATGTTGCCTGATTTTGGTTTTGGTTTTGGTTTTGAGCTGGGGTCGAGGACGAGGTGGCCATAGAGGAGAGGGCAACAGAGGCAGGAACGGGCAGCTCGCGTGTAAGGGCAGACTCGTACGCGAGCATCAGGCCTTCGTGGCTGGATGATAGAACATAAAGTCACGTTAGAAAGACGAGACGAGGAGACAAGGAAACGGAATTACCTAGTGTAAAAGTCGACTTCACCTAAGGTACCCCTTCCACCGCCCTGCTCGTACGCGACACTCGACGGACCCGCATCAGCGCCGATCGTCCTCGTAAAGTCAAGCGCGTCCGAAAGGCCCTCGACAATCGTCTCGAACTCGCGTCTATCCAAAACCACCATCATGAGCGCATTTGTCTCAACATAGGCCTCTAACCGCAAGGGTATGGTCATGAAACACGCACCTCAAAGATGGAGAGCGGACATGAGAGAGCGACCAGTCTCTCGGGTGGTGCAAAGACGCGAAACCCGAGGTGAGT